GAGGGTGGGCTTCCCTGTCCCACTGCCAGGTTCTGCGCTTGAGGGCCAGGCTCTGCCTCCTGTCTCTCCTGCCAGCAACAGGGCACTCTGCCCAGATGGCTGCCTCGGGGTGAGGCCTAGAACCTGGAGCCAGCCCTGCTGACGGCCTTTTCTTAGCCACACTTACTTCGTATCAGGTGAAGGTCTGGGTAGGTTGTGTCCACAGAGCATGCTGATCTCAGTGGCTCTAGGATGCACACCACGCACCATGTGCACGTGTGCACACACATGTTGCTGAGCTGTCTTTTTTTTTTGAGCTGTCTTTTTAATACCTTGTTAGAATGCACTCAGCCTCTGGCCTTCTCTTTCCCTCCCCATGGTGCTGGGTCACCGCCTCTTGTCTCACTGGTTGTTGTTGGTCCTCCAAAAATAATCTTGTAGGACGATGTCCTCACTAGGTCCCCTGTCCAGGCCTTGGGCACCATTGTTGCTCCCTCCCCCTGTGTGCCAGGCTGAGCAGTATGTCCAGGTGCCATCCTGGCCTCACTGGTCAGACCCAGTCCTTGTAAGGGGAAACGGCCACCAGGGATGGGCCCAGGGTTCAGAGTTCTCCACCTGCCCGCAGAAGTCCTGGGGCCTCCTCTGCCCAGCCCTCTGCCACTGGGTTCACCCAGGGGCGGGGCCTGTCGACCCCTGTATGCCTGTGCCCTCCTCCCTCCCCGCCCGGTGCCCTGCTCAAGGTCCCCTCGAGGCATCCATTGGTTCTCCTGGAGCATGGTGATTGCAGGAACCAAAACTGGATTTAAGTAGCTGAATAAACAACCCACCCTCACTTTTCTCTTAACAGGTTTTACTCTGCTGGTACCCCGAGCTGTTTGATTTTCTCTTTAGCTCCCGACTTCCTGAAGCAGTGTCCAGGGAACACCCTGAAGCTGGCGTGGTCCCTTAGTGTGTTGCTAGGTAGGCAGAAAAGCCGGGGGCCTTTTGGGTAGTGAAGTCTTGGTGATTTGAAGGATGATGACGGGAATGGCACAAAAGCATTCGTTTCCCAGCTTTTTAGTTTCGTAAGGGAGCTGGCCATGGTATTCGCCCTCAGGGGGCCTGTGAGTGTCTCATGAACCCTTCTGTTAGTGACATTGTTAGAAAAGACAATGAGTGTGTTGGCCTGTGACATACTGTGACCTGAAGGCTTCAAAGTCTCAGGTGGGCTGGGGTTGGTGGCCCAGACCTCCCGTCAGTCCACCACAGTGAGGGGTATGAGGGGAACTGATTGCTCGGAGGTTTGGGGCTCTCCCCACTCAGCCCAGCAGCCCTCTGTGGTTCCCTGTCGGTTCCTGCCTGGTCAGGCCTGCAGTCAGTGGATGGTGCTGGGACTTGGGGAGAGCAGGAGGCCGGGGAGGGTGAGGGTCCCAGCCAAGGGTGTCAGGGAGCTCCTGGCTCCCACAAGGCCCTGTGCCTGTGGCCTGTTGCTGCACAGCATGCATCCCTGTGAGCCACTTCCTGGCTTCCCAGAAGACCTGAAAGGCAGGCTCTGCAGCCATTGTCTCAGTACCTTTCCCCAGGGCTCCCCGCTGGGAGGAGCTCGGCTCCTCCCGCACCTAGGTCCGGCCTCCCTTGGGAGTCGCCTTCCTTTGCAGATGGGGGTGGCTTTATTCTTCAGTGTCCGGATCCTGGTCTGCTTCAGTAGGGCTTCGAGACAATTCTGGGAGCTGACCTGACAGTGCACGCCTGCAGTCCCTGCACTGTGGGAGGCTGAAGCAGGCAGATTGCAAGTTACAAGCACAGTCTGGGCAAAACCTTAGTGTGAGATTCTGTCCAGAAATAAAAAGCAAAAAAAGTCCTGAGAGGGGCTGGAGGTATAGCTTGGCAGCATAGCACCTGCCTTGCAAGTGTGAGGTCCTGAATTTGATTCCTGGTAACACCCTCCAAAAAATCCCAGAAATGTACTTCAGTCCAGAGGTCGCTGGTTCTGTTCCCAGTACTCCAGGGAAAAGAAGCAAAGGTGCTAGGTAGTGGGGGTGGCAAGGGGATTGTACCTGCTCTGGCCACCTTGGTGGGAGCCCCCCATTCTTGTAACCAGGTTTCCTCAGATCTGTGCTTTGGGTGTACAGATGAAGGTGGCCTGTGAGGGGACAGTCCCTGCTGCCCGCTGCTTAGAGAAGTGGATGGGGGCGGGGCAGCTCTGGTCTGGGGCCAGGTATGGAAGGCTCATTGCAGCCTCGATGAATTGTCACATCACCTGTTTTGAGAAGCAGCCTGTATGATAGGACTGCGGTGGCAGCAGCTCAGGGCACTGGTGCCAGGCCACATCCTCAAAGGACAGGAGCGAGGCACTATGGGACCCACGTGTGTCTTTGGAGAGGGCTCCTGCAGGTGCAGTGGAACCTTGTGGGGCCCACAGAGCCTCCTGAGGAGCAGCAAACGGACAGGAGCAAGGCAGCGGGAGGTGTGGCATCCACCCTGGCGGGTTACAGGCCTTTCACACCCCAGGCCCCCTCTTTGCATGGAGAGAACCACAGGCTAGGGGCTGCGCATCTCTGCTGCACTTGGCCCACTCCGCCCTGCAGCTGCTCACTCTGGCCCTGCCCAGCTGCTGCAGGAAGGGTGAGAGTGGTGCCTGGGAAGAGGCGGGTGGTAGGTGAGAGAGGCCTGGGCCAGGTGGCCTGTGCAAGTGGGGCAGGACCCAGGGTCAGGAGCCCAGGTGGTCTTGGGAAGTCCCAGGGGTATGGACAGCTTGGGTCGGTCGCTGAGGTGTACAGAGCCTTGGCGGCTGTACACAGCCCCAGCTCAGCGCTCTGGGTCTGTGTCTTGGGTCCAAGGCTGCCTGTGGGCTATCAGCTGTGTGTCCCTAATGCTGCCACAGAGCACGTTCCTCTGAGGACAGAGGATGTCCTCTCCTGGCCGCTTACAGGGGTGCGGACCCAAGAAGGCCAGTGCTACAAGGGTCAGGTAGGAAGTATTTTCTGCCTCCCCCTGCCCTAGCAAGCATTCAACCTCTGTACCCCTCAGGGACATCGTGGGGTACTTCTCCTGACCTCCTCCAGCCCCACCTCCTGCTGCTCCCTCTTCCCCAGGGCCCAGGGAGGGCTGCCCAGAGGTCACCAGTGTTGAGCTTGTCTGTGGTCAAGGTTGTCCCCGTGATTCCAGCCTTGCCCTCCCCTGTGCATTTTGTCTCCGTGCCAGCTCCTTTCTCCTTCAGAGGGAGACCGGAGGCTTGAGCTTGCCAGGAACTCCGGGTTTTAGGTGCCTGACCAGGTTTCTGGGTCCCGAGGCTTTCCCTGGCTTGTAATTGCGTAAGTCCTCACTGTCAGGAAATCAGAGACAGGAGGGCTTGGAGATCTGAGAGCGCAAAGTTCACTTCTTGTATAGGTAAATAGAAATTGCCTTGGGCTATGAAACCCTGCTGAAATGGATTCCATTATAACAGCAGAAATGTGAGGACACGGTGAGACTTTTGAAAGTTTGATTTATTTATTTACTTTTGTACCAGCACTTGCCAGGCAGGTACTTACACCTCTGAGCTAAATCCCTGGCCCCTATTTTGATATAATTTCAAACTTACTGACAAGTTACAAGAAAGACTTAGGCCTGGCATGGTGATGCACACCTGTAATCTCAGCACTTGGGAGCTGAGGCAAGAGGATTGCTGTCAGTTCGAGGCCAGCCTGGGTTACAAAGTGAGTTCTAGGCCAACCTGAACTGCATGGGGAGACCCTGTCTCAAACAAACCAAAAGAAAAAAAAAATAGTAAGAGACTCCCACATGGTCCTCAGCCCTTCCTCATACACTCTTTTTGGACATGAGAAGAGCCGGTGGAGAGGCCGTGTCCCCTGACCCCTGGCTGACCAGCATGCTGTCTGAGAGCAAGGAGACTGGCTGCTCTGTTGCAGAGCCTCAGTGCCAGTGTCAGAAGCACAGCGCTGAACCTCAGCCCAGGCTGCTTTCAGAGGCTCTGCCTGAGCTGTGTCCTCTGCCTCGGGAACCCTCATGGCCCCCTCTGCGAGGCCAGCATGGGTTTGGAGCTGGAGCCGCATCTGCCGGTCTCCCTGGTCATTTTCTCCAAAGTAGTGGACCCCTGGGCCCTGTCTGAACATTGGCATTGTTGGGATATAGACCGTGTGGCTGCCCTGAGGCCTGGGTCCTGCATCCCTGGTCACCTCAGGTTTCTCCAGTGGCAAGTGGAGTTTTTGCCTTTGATAATTTTGGGGACATGTTTTCAAACTATGTAAAAACCCTGTGCCTCCCCCAGCTGATACCCTCTAGTTTCCGAATGCACTACTGGCTCCCTGCAGGCGCTGGGATGGTACCAGGGCCTCCCCTTCCTTGTTTATGCTCAGCCCTGTCTCCTGCTCTTGTCATTCTGGGTAGGGCCAGCCAGCCACTGGGTAGGGTGCTTCCTCCCCCCCAGCCTGGGGTAGCCCCGATCCCACCTGTCCTCAGTGCCCACACTGTGCAGCCCGAGCTTCGCTGTCCGTACTCTGGAGAGAGGTGACCTTGTGGCCAGCGCAGGAATTTTCTTAGAGTAGATGATACAGATTTATTTTGCTGACAGAGTAGACTGAGGTGGAGGTAACCCTGAAGTAGTTTTTATTCTTAAACACTGTGTACCTCAGGTTGCAGCCTGTGGACCATGGGATGACATCTCTGTTAAATGTGGGTAAATGAGGCTCAGAGAGGTTGACCTACTGTCAAGAGTGACACAGCCAATGAACGCTGGAGCTGGGGTTTCCATCCAGCACAGCTCACCTTTCATGATACCCTGCGGTATCCTCTAACACATTTCCTTGCTCTAAATTATCCACTTGGTGCACAGAACAGTTGAATGACAGAATGTTTATTTCTGGTCTGAGGGCCTTCTCCTGGTGAATAATTCAGTACCAAAATCAAGTCTGAAGAATTAACCTGTGTGTCACCCCACTGTCCCTCTCCGAGGAAAGCTTTACCAGAGAAGCTTGACCGTCCTAGCGTTGCTGTCCTCGTGTTGCCAGAAGTGCCCTAACCCTTTTATTTTTTTCCTATAGGAATTTGCTTGCTAGAAAACAAAATGCAAGACTTGACAAACAAAATGACTTGGGATGGAAGTTGTTTGGAAAAGTACCGCTCCGAGAGAATGCTCAGAAAGATTCAAAGAGAATCCAAAAGGTACCCGTGACTGAACGCAGCTGCACTGCCGTGTGGACACAGCCCGCCGTGCCAGACAGCCTGTGCTGTGTGCACCCTCCTCTGCGGTCTGCACTGGGCATGCACATCAGCTTAACTAGTCTCATTTCCTGTGGCTCGGGCCCTGCACAGAGAAGCTGACCATAGATGTTTACAGCTTGACTTATTTTACTCATTCTTCTGAGTAACAGTTGCAAATGTGTTTATCTGTTATGCTGGCTGTGGAAGCCTCTACCATGGGGAATGCAATCCTTCCAACTGATAGGAACCCCCACTTCTAAGGGTGCCCAGTGCAGAGGGGCTCAGGGTCAGGCTGCCTGGACCTGAGTGGGGGGCTCGTGCCAGCAGCTTGCAGAACACTGAGGCTGAGTGGTTTTGCTCGTGTGAAAGTAGGGCAGGCCAGGAAGCCCCCACCCTCAGTGGCTGGTCCCGCCCCTGACCGCCTCTGACTGCCTGCAGTGCCCAGGACTCCCCCTTGCTGCTCGGGTCAGCAAGCAAGCCTGAGCGGCGCTGGCTTTGGAGAGGGGCTGGCGCTCTCTGGACTGCATGTGTGCCAGGAACCTGGGGTGGGGGGCTGACACAGAGGAGTCCCCGCCTGTGGGTCCAGTTCACCCACGACCCTCAGTGACTCAGAGTGAGAGCTGTTGTTGCCCTCAGTTTACCAAAACTGAGTCACAGCTGAGCAGCTTGCGGGCCAGCACACAGCTGAGCAGTGGCACAGTGGAGCCGTGGTTGCAGGGCCCCCCTGTAGGTGGAGCCCTGGGAGCAGAGCAGGCCATCTGAGGCCTGGCTGCTGTGTGGGCTCTGCTGGCCGCGTGTAGAGTGGAGGTGGTGACAGGTGTGGGCCCGAGACCTACTCCTGCGGGTGCCCAGAGGCCGCGCGCAGGGTTCCACACTTGGTATGTTTCTCCTGCATGGTGAGTCATGCCAGAAGTGAGTGCGTCTACGGTTCCCTGACGTGGGAGACTCTCAAAGTCCGGGAGGGGACTCATGTTTGGAGATTGTCACATTTCGAGTTGGAATCAGGGTAGGCTTACTGCACCACATACAGCGAAATGTCAGCTAGGATGAGTTTGTGTGCTAAACTCAGCTACAGATGTCTTAAGAGACTAAGTGGCTCTTCTGCTGTAAAGTTTTTAAAGAAACCAACATGTACACTTATACTACATTAAGCGTTCCAATAACTCTTTGTCTGTCTGAGACAGGCTTTCACTGCGTAGCCCAGGCTGGCCTCAAACTCAGTGATCCTCCTGCCTCAGCCTCCTGAGTGCTGGGATTATAGCTGTGTGCCACCATGCCCGGCTTTTTTCTTCTTTTGTATCAGGCATTGAACTCAGGACCTTGTGTTTGCCAGGCTGTACTAACTCTTAATATCTCTCATATCGTGTCTGAATTTCTTTAGTGTCATGGTGGTTATTTTTTAATTTGTAAATTTTAACATGAACATGATTAATGTTCTTGGCCTTGAGGGGTTTTTTGACGTGCTGAAAGGAGTAGGTGGCTGGCCACACGTCCCATGGCCCTGCAGGGGTCCACGTTGCTTGGCCTCAAGTCCATTGCCCCACCTCGAGCCGGGTACGGGGCAGGGACCTGCTGCTTGTGCCAAGGCTTTGGGCTCCAGTGGGCCGCCGGCACAGGTGCCAGACCCAGGGCTTCAAAGTGTGGCTGTGACTCCGAGCGAGCTGCTGAGCCTTCCTGAGCACACTCTGCTCATCTCTGGAAAATGGAGGAAGTGGGAGGAGACTGACAGAGAAGCAGCTGCCTGGTGCTCACAGAGGGTTGGAGTGGGAAGTGCTGCAGGCCTTTGCCTGCTGCTGAGCCCAGGGAGTGGGGCCCAGCCCATCAGCACAGCCCACTGTGTCCTTGTCCTGCAAAAACCACCTCTCCTGGGCCAGTCCCAGCCTGCACAGGGAACACAGTGGCAGTGGCAGAGAGAGTACGTGAAGAATTTCTGCCCAGTTCTTGCACATCAGCAACCCAGTCAGTGCTCTGGGCTCCCCCAGGCCAGTTTGGGGGAGCTCAGCCTCCTCCTGACTCCCGGCGTGGGCCCTGGAACATAGGGCTTGGAAAGTGTTGAAATGATGCTTGTCATATGCATTTTGAAAATTACACCTTGTTTTTCCTACAACAGTATGATTTCGGGATACACAAATGATCAAGGCTGAAAAAATGGTTCTGAAACTATGGTTTTCAAAGTGTGATCACCAGAGCAGGGAGGTCATCAGTGCTATGAGCCTCCAGCATTTGTGAGAAACTTGGCCCTCAGGCTCACGCCTGCCAGGGAATGGAACACGGGTGGGCTGCAAGCTGTGGTCTTACAGCTACTACAGGAAAGGAAATGTTGCTGTCCACCCGCCATGAAGGAAGGGAGCATGGGGTGGTCATCTTCGACCCTGCAGAGCATGCACGTGCGGTGGTACCTGCTGGGAACGTGGAGAAGTTGAGAGTGTGGGTGATGCTGCCTGGGCTACCGGACTCCTTTCCCCTGGGTTTGTGGGGACCTGGGCTTTGGTCCCCTTGGCAGACGCGTGACGCTGGCCTGTTAGTAAAAGGTGGGCTTCTTTCTTGGATCCCTGGCCTTTTTGTGCCACAGTTTTGAGCCGCTGACTAGGTCCATTCCTGGAGAACAGTGAAGGGCAGGCAGGGCTGACTGACACTGGCCTCAGTTATAGTCTACCATGGGCCAAGAGGGACAGTTCAACAGTAATTCTACAAATAATTAATTGCAGGGTGCGTCACATGTTGGGAAGGAGCCCAGAGGGCAGTCATCACACAGGGTTTTTGTATGGCTGTGCACATTTTTCTGACACTGTGTTTTAGGCGATGGCCAGTTGCCCAGTACAGTGGTCGGCTCTTGGCCCCGACCTCTGGTGCTGCAAGCAGCACAGCCTCACTGAGCTCCCCTGCCCCTCCAGGTCCTCCTTCTCCTCCTCTCCAGTCTCCTGTGCAGCAGCCCCAGCTCCCTGGAGTGCCGCTCTGGTGTGTCCTTGCCACATGTCCCCTGGAGGATCCCAGCAGGACTTTAGGCTTCTGAGCACAGACGGGGCACCCTGTGCCCAGGCTGGATGAGCCCCAACCCCAGGTCCTAGCATCCAGCTGTCTGAAGACCTTCAGGAGGTTGCTGTGAAAGAGCAGATATGAAAGTCTGTAAGTGAGCAGAGGCCAGAGGTCAGGGCTGGATCTGTGGAGCTTGTGACTGTTTGACGTCTAACACTGAGGACTCAGGCTGGGGCAGCCAGCATCGTTGTGAGGAAGCCACGTTGAGCAGAAAGGTGTTTGGATATGCTGAGGTGGCTGCTGACTGTGGCAGTGGTGAGACAGGCTTGTGGATTGCAGTGTACGGGATAAAATGCTGCCACTCGGGTAGAGGTGAGGCAGCGGTCTGCTGTGCTTGGCTGTGTGGAACTGGAATGTCTCTAGTGGCCTGGAATTTCCAGTCAGCTGTTAGGTCTTAGGCAGTCTGCAAGGCGGCAGGTCTGGGAAGCCCAGCATGCCATCCTTCTCCTCATCTCTGAGGCCTGAGGATTTGGGGTACTTGGAGGGTCTCTGGCATCACAGAACAAAGGAAGGGCAAGGTCAGGGTGATTGGTGGGCAGAACTGGCTGCAGGTCTAGAGCAGATTTTAGGATATCAACAAGAAACTGGTCCCCACCTTCATCTGTCCTTCGAACTTCAGAAGTGTGCTGAATGACCTCACAGAATTACGCAGAGCAGGTACCAGCTCCGGGGAGGTGGTGTGGGTGTAGCCCGCCTTCCTGGAGAGCGAGGCCAGGAGACCTGACCCGCACACGTTGCCTGTGAGTGGGCTGCAGAGTGTGGCCAGGATTAGGAGTATGCATTGAGATGGATTTCCAGACCCAGAGGGTCAGGGAGCCCTCACCCCAGGAAGGGCTGTTAACATGGACAGAGGAGGGCTGGGGATTTAGCTCAGCAGGCATAAGTGCCTGCCTTGTAAGCAGGTGGTTGTGAGTTTGATCCCCGGTACCGATGATATTAAAAAAAAAAAAAAAACATGGACAGAGGGATCCTGCCAGGCTGTGGGGGTGGGCTGTAGGCCGCGCGCACACTGGGAGAGGCAGGGGCCCCATCTGCACTGTTTACCTCAGACCCTCAGACCCTGGCCACGACGCTGACAGCAGCAGCAGGGGCTGGAGGGACCCAATCCTCAGGCACTGCGACGGCCGGAGGGGGAGGGGCCTTTGTCCAAGGAGGTGGGCAAACCCCGGGTGCTTTAGTCTCACCTGGCTCTGGTGAGGATACAGCTACAGGGAGCATGTGGCTGCGTCATTAGAAGAGGGGAGACCAGGCAACAAGAAAGCAGCAGAGGCGCTGCTGAGAGGACAGGGCTGCACGGGTCTGAGGAATGAACACACACACACAAACTCACACACTCTCACACACAGGAGGGATCAAACCTGGGAGAGCTCATGTGGCCCAGGCTGGCTGCTCATCACGGAGCTTGGAGCCCGTGGGAAGACTTGGCAGGAGCTGGGGTCGAATCCACTTGGATGACCCCAACGCCAGCAGACAGACGAGACCTAGGGTCTCCGAATGCAGCATTCCACACACCCGATGCACAGTGCACCCACCCAGGTCCTGGGAGGAGCCAGGGCCCTCTGCTGATGGAGCACACACTCAGATACCAGGTGGACCCCAAGACCAACCAAACTAGCCTGCAGGGACTCATGCAGCCATTGTAGAAATGCTCTGACGAGCAGGGGTGAACACTCTCGAGCTGGAAAAGAGGAAAGTATTAGGAGAGAGACAGAAAGTAGGAAAGTCAAGTGAAGGTTTCATGCCTGAAAATACAGTAGCCAAAGTGAGGGACAGAATCTCGAGCTAGCGTTTTAGAGTGGACCAACCAAAACAAGTTCCGATCCTAACAACACAGAGGAAAAGGAAAAACAGTCACAGCCAGCCTCGAAAGCAAAGAGCAACATCCCTTAGAGCTTGAGGACACATGGGAGAACACTAAAAACTCTCACATTGGTGTTGTTTGAGTAAAAACGCGCTCTTCTGTTACCACGAAACTGTGGCCCAGGCACTCGCAGCGTATCTGACGCACAGGCTGCGTTCTGCTTCCTGTCCGTACTAAACTGCTTGGCGAGCCCGCATCCAGCAGTGGTGTGCTGTCCTTAGTTGGATGTCTCTGTGTTATAATATGAAACAGCTCTTGACTCATACCTGATCCCAGCACTCTAGGGGGCTGAGACGAAAGACCTGCAGGTTTGAGCCCCACCTGTGACTTAGTGAGACCCTCTCAAAATAAGGCCTCAGGGTGTGTCTCAGTGTTCAACCCCTGGTACTGCTAGAAACTAAAGCTCTACCTTTTTTTTTTTCTGTGATATTTGCCTTTTATTTTAATATGATGACTTCATGTCAAAAATATATTAACATGTTGAAGAGACAGATAAGATGTAAAACTGATTTCAAGAGCATTTGAGAGTTTGGTGCATATACAGGTATTAAAACCACAAAAGAATTAGGATTAGGTTGCTAGATAAGATTTCAACAAACTGGTGGAGACTGTAAAATAAAATCTCCAGTGTTCTCTTTCCCTAGGACATAAATCTCCAAGTTACTATGTAATCTCACATCATAGGGACAGTGCCTTAGGAGTTAAACCTGGCACATGTTCAGGGTCCTGGGTATGACCTGAATGACCCCTCACCCCAGTACCACTGCTTTTGGCTTTGTGGTAGTGGGGGGAAGATCTCACTAGACAGTGCAGGCTGGTCTCAAACTCTCAGTCCTCCTGCCTCAGCCTCTGGAGCACTAGGGTTATAGGTGCACACCTCCAAGCCTGGCTTCATTTCCAGACTTTGGATGCTGTTCTCAACAAGGCCTTCCTTAATCTGCTCTTCAGAATCAGCTTTTTTGCCTTTTTTTCTTTGTCTTTTTGAGACATGGTCTCGCTATGCAGTTCAGGCTGGCCTTGAGCTCACTTTGTAGCCCTGGCTGGTTTTGAACTTGCAGTGATCCTCCTGGCTTAGTCTCCCAAGTGCTGGGATTACAGGCTTGCGCCATTATGCCTGGCTTTGTTTTGTTTTGTTTTTGAGAAATGGTGCAGGCTGGCCTTGAACTCAAAATCCCCAGTCCCAGCCTCCTGAATAGTTGGGGTTGTAGCTGTGAGCTACTGAATTTTATAATAGTATAAATACTATTACAGTATAAATACTATAAAAACCCACTAATTATAAACTTTCAGTTCTTAATAAATTTATATTCATCAGTCATCGCCATCCAGTTTCAGCAGACTTTCACTCCTCTTCCCACCTCTGGGGAACGCACATCCTTTTCTGTCTAGAGGTTTCCCTTTGGAGAGTTTCACACAGACGGGCTGGCTCCCGGGAAGCACACAGATCAGTGCTTTCCGCAGCGGGTGGACTGCACTGTCCTGCGGTCCGTCACTGTGAGTAACGCTGGGGACTCTGCCCTCAGCTCTTTCCAGGCTGTACTTCGCTGGGCAGTGTCATAGGAATGCAGCAGGTGTGAGTCACATGAGAAATCTTCTGACTCCTTTCCCACACAGGGTGCCGTCACTGCGGTGGCCTTTTAGTTGCACCCCCGTGGCTGTCACAGTCAGCTCTGAGCTTCACGGTGGGAGTAGCAGCCCAGAACTCCCAGCCCGCGGCATGGGGTGAGGGGCCCTCGGAGAAGGAGACTGTTAAGTTCTGGACCAGTCAGGAGAACGCCCGGCTGCAGACTTTGAAGACCGGTTAGAAATCGGCAGTCTGGTCTGAAGGGTCCTTACTCCTCGGTCTGGAGTGCTCACCTAGATCACGGTCATCACCCTGGCCGCTTGGGCTGCTCCCTACTCGGCTCCCTGAGAAGCTACCTCGCGTGTGATTTCTGTTAGTGTGCGCGTGTGTGTGCACACGCGTGTGCACCTGCCGTTTTCAGCGCACAGTTCGGACCTAGCCCCCCATGCACCACCACCAGGCGTTACCTGGGCTGATCTTTCCTCGGGCGCCTTCCGGCGGCAGGGTTTCTCTGTTGTTTTCCGTGGTCTCTACTCCATGTGCTTTCTGCAGCCCTGGGGTTCGGGGTGCGGCAGGGCGCCCTGCCGCGGGGCCGCCCCGCCCCGCGCCCCCTCCAGCCTGACCCCGCCCAGGTCCCCCCTCCCAGGCTGTCGGCGGTGCTAGGGCGAGAGCCGAGCGAGCGATGAGCGGGTCTGCGCAGGCTCGATTGAGCGCCCTGCCGCCCCGCCCCGCCCCGCCCCCGCGTCTGCGGCGCCGTCCCGCCGCCGGCGCGTCCGCGTCACCCGGAGCAGGAGCAGGGCTGGAGGCCCGGCCGTCCGGGATGGACCCGCTGGCCGCGCGCCCCTAGGCCCGGCGTTCATGGTGAGTCTCGCCCACAGCAGCCGCGCGGACCGGGCGGCGCTCTTTGTGGCACCCGCAGCCCTCCGCGGCCGTGGGCACCCGGTCTCCCTGCTGCCGTGCCGCTCGCTGTGCCGGCGGTGCTGCGTCTGGGCCCGGAGAGGAGGCCTCCGCCGGGCGCTTCCTGGGCCGGGCGTGGCGGGGACCCCCCTCCCTGCGAGCCCTGCGGCCTTGCCCGGGGGCGTCGGCCCGGCACGCCGCTTCGGGAAGCCACACAGGCCGCGTAGCCCGGTCTCGGGCCGTCGCCCGCTGCTGTGGCACGTGGGGCCCGACTGTGGTGCCGGTGGCCTTGGGAGGGTTTTATAGCGCCACAGCCCAGCGCCCGTCCTTGCTCGCTCTCTAATGCTCATTCGTCGTCCTGAAACCTTCCGCCTAGCGGATGGGAAGCTGCTCAGAAGGGAGATCTGCCCCGGGACGTTCCACCCCAGCTCATCCCCTGCAGGCCGCCCGGCCCCGCCTGAGCAGGCAAGTCACTGCTGTCACTGCCAGAAGTTCAGGTTCGCTTTTAGAGGGGCCGTGAGATGGCTGCGGGCGGAGGCTTAGTGTCGCACGCCCTGCTGAACCTTCCGATAATGCTGACAGGGCTCCCTGGACTCTTGGCAGCCAGCGGAGTGCGCAGTGATTTCCTCCTCTCCAGACCGGGCTTCCCAGAAGGGAGCAGGGGTTCTGGCAGGAGGATTGGCGGGCTGGTTTGTCTCTTCTCTGTGCCATCGGTGCCCCTGTCTTTCTCCCCGGAAGACTTGCTTTTCTTTTCGCCAATCCCACTGTTTTTTTCACTCTCTTGGTCTGTCGAGGCAAGCTTTTCTGTTTTTCCTGACAAGTTTTTAAACCTTATCTTCCCCTTGCTCTGGGCAGCTTGTGGGGTAAGGTCCCCCTGCTGTTTCTCAGTGGCTCCCTAGGCCCTGGGAACCCCGCTTTCCTTTCCCTGAAGCTGTGCTGGTCGGCAGGCAGCACCCCCCAGCCTTCCCCTCCTGGGGAGCAGTGGGTAAGGCCTGTGGCTGCTGTGTTGCCTTGGACCCTTGCAAGCTGCCTTCAGGCGGCTCCCAAGCTACCTATACCGTGTGCATTGTTTTCTGTTGTTTCGCTGAAAAGCCATCACTGGGACTGACCAGTCACACTGAGCTGACTAGGACTCTGAAGGACCCCTTTTGTTCCTCTGTGTGGTCATCCAGGTAGCCCAGGCAGCGCGGACCTGGATGGGCAGTTGTTTTCCTGATGTGCCTGCCAGGCTCTGCCGGGCTGCAGTGGAGACAGCTGTCCTGGACCTCAGGGAGGGCCCAAGGCTGGGCAGTGCAGCATTGGATGGGTTCTTGGCCTCCTACCTGGGCTGTCCTGTTCTAGCTTCCTGCCTGGCATTCAGGGTGAGGAGGCTGAAGCCATGCAACCATTCAGGTGATTGCTTCCGCTCAAAGCCAGGTCTTAGAAGGTAGGACTTTCTGTTTTCAAGGTCTTAGCTCCCACCTTATGCCTGCTGACTTTAATGCTGAAGCCATAGGACAGTGTCGCGTGCCACGGTTTCTTACCCCTAGGGCCCTCAGAGGGAGTAGATGCCTTGCGTCTGGATTGGGTTTCGTGGCGTGGAGAGTGAGAACTTTCTATGGGGTCTGCAGGGAAACCCAGGCTCGAGCATGATCGCGTGGCCATCGCCAACACAGACTCAGAAATGCCACTCAGCCTTGGCTGGGCTGCGCTGTGACTTCTAGTTTGGGCAGGCCAGGCTTCCTCTGTTAATTTAGTCATGCAGAAGTGTAGTATTGGATCCTGTGTCTCCACTGACTCAGCGTTGAGTTCAGTGTTCAGGTTTCTTTCCCGAGCCTGGTTGTGATGGGATTATTGTCTGCCCCTGTGCTCGGGGCTTGCATGAGTTCTGTGGTGAGCCCAGCGCTCAGCCCCCAATTGGCCCCCCCTCACCCCCCACCTCCCACTTCTCAGCATTTGGGGTGCAGGTCCCCTTCTGGAACGTGAGGTGGGGCCCTGGTGTGCAGGCTGAGCCTACTGTACGAGGGAGAGGCTCTCAGTATGTGTGTGGCCCTTTGGTGGGGGCAGCCACCCTCACATTGTCCCTGGGGATGGCGAGTGGCACCGGCTGGGGGCTCTGGTGTTTTTGGTTGGGAAGCAAGGCCTCCCCTTCCCGTGGCCCCCACTGCTGACCACAGACTCCGTGGAGCCATGATGGTGGTTTGGCAGCGGACGATTGTTTCCTCCTTGGCGTGGCTGTTCAGGTATGCGGGGAAATGAATAGTGGTACCTACTGTGTCCCAGAGCTGGCCTTCATGGCTGCCTGGCTGTCTCCTGTCGTCACAGCAGCACGCGGTAGGGTGCTGATGCCCCTTCATGGAGATGGACATGGAGCAGGGGATTCCATGCAAGCCTGCGGCCTGAGTCAGTGGCTGTCAGAGGAACCGGACCGGATTTTCCCTCTGCGCTGTGTTCTGGGCTAATGCCTGCCGTGCAATGGTCCAAGAGGCCAAGGCGGCCATGTTCAGGTTCAAGGACAGCTGGCCTTGGCAGTTCACTGGCCAGTCTTAGCGCAGAGCAGCACCTTGAGGGTGTTTGCAGCTCATGCCCATTGGAAGGTGGCATGCTTCAGAACCTTGCTCGGCACTTGGCTTTTGCTAGATTTTCGCTAAACGTGCAGACGGCCGCGTCTGGGTATCGGCCTTGAAGCTTTCTGTGGCCAGCTCCATGCTCACTCGCTGCTAGGCAGCCTCGGTACTCAGCGCTGTGAGCAGGTGAGTCTGGTTGCTCAGTTTCAGGTAAGCCGGCTGATTTGGTACATCAGGAGCACTGAAGTGCAAAGTGGCCCAGGGTATATTGTGTGACCAGTGCCCCCAGATGTGCTGAAACTACCCCCACCCAGCTCTTGCAGCCCTCACATCCCGAGGAAATCAGTGTCCATGTGTGCAGAGAAACCACAGTAGTCCTTTCTGGCAGAGAGACCGATTGCTTGCAAAGCGATATTGCGAGTGACACCCCTCTGGACAGCCAGCATCAGTGAGGTCCACTTGGCGGTTAACCACCGCTTTCTGCCAGCCTTGGCTGGCTGACTGGAAGCTTGGGTTAACTGTGTGTTTGTTTGCAGTATTCCTCAGCCAACTGATCTCCCCCTAAGAGCTATTCCGGGGAGCCCTGGCTGTCATGGACACAACATGAAAATACTGTCTTGGCTCTTCAGGGAGTCACACACAGGCACAAGCCTTCTAGGCCCCGAACCTTTCTGGCTGGGTGTCCGCAGTGTGGGTCAGATGTGACCAAGATCTTGCGGCTGCCGTCTTTGAAGCACACGGTGACTCGGTAGGTCGGTACGGAGGCTGCATTCAGAGTTCTAGGGCCTGTAAAATTGTTTGTGTAACAGTTTGTGGTGATGGCTTCTCAGTGGCCAGTAATTAGCCAAAATGCACAGTGTCCAGTTGGCGTGGTGGTGTGCACCTATAATCTCAGCTACTCAGGAGGCTGAGGCAGGAGGAGCAGAAGTTTGAGGCCAGCCTGGCAACTTAATGAGATCCTGTCTCCAGCCAAAAAGAACAAGGGCTGAGGATGTGGCTCAGTGGCAGAGCGCTTAGGCTTGCTCCCCAGTGTTAGGGAAAGTGTTTTACAGGGTCCAGAGGCACTGGGAGAAGCATAGGGAGCAGCCAGGGCTTGGTGTCCTTCCTTAGGGAGCATTTCCACGATGAGCCCTTGGTGACTGGTGCCACCTGGGGAACCATGGCCACCTCGGTGCAGATTGAGGGGGCCCTCCAGGTGGCAGAGTTTTATCAGGACTGGGGGAGAGGTTTTCAGTATCTTTCTCAGAGTTGAGTTGAAGGATGCTCACTATAGGATGTTTCTTTTGGTTACCAGAACTTTGTGATACGAGAGAAGTCTGGCCCCAACTCACCCGGGGTTTCTCTGTCCTAGGAATATGAAGACAAGGCGGGAAGACGTAGCCGGCCACCTTCGCCGAGGCAGAATGTGAGGAGGAATCTTGATTTTGAGCCACTTTCCACCACTGCCCTCATCCTGGAAGACAGACCAGCGTGAGTCTTAGCGTCGTCTTGGTGTGGCCTAGCAGATGAGGACCTGTTAACCCCTTCACGTTAGGAAGGACCGAGGTCAGCAGGAGGCAGAGCAGTGGCCGTAAGCAGTTGTCACGCCTGTGTCCCCATTGTGTGACGAGGGCACATGGCTCGCTTGGAAAACGGAAGTTTGCCCCAGATTTTCTTCTCGACGTTTAAGAGCCCTTCCCAGGCGGCTTGTGATGGCAGGGCACCCTGGCACGCGTGCTCGAGCATGCTGCTTAGGGGGTCGCTGGCACCGCAGGACCTGTGGACTGGCCTGCGGGGTAGCTTCCCCGAGCAGTACTGATCTCTGGCCCTGGCTGCCCATGTGTGGTGAGAGGCACTCGTGGGTACCAGGAGTTGCTCCCTGGGGCCAGAAAACATCCAATCTCAAAAAAAGGAATGGAAGAAAAGAAGAGAAGAGGTGGTAAACATCTAGTTAGTCCTAGGGCCCGTGTCCGTCCTTGCAAATCGACAGCAGGGCAGATTGCAGAAGAGCATGTCTTTTGCTGCACCTCCCGGCTCTCAGGGACCAGGGGAGCCCCTGAGGAGGCCTACAGAGTTAGGCAGAGGCTGTTGCAGAGGCCATTGTAGTCCCTCCTGGTCCTCTGAGACAGTGGGTCCGAATGCCCAAGGCATGGGGTCCCGTCCAGTTAGGTGCCAGCCATCCAAACATGGCTGTGGAAACGTGCATTTCATTGTTTTAATGGGTGTAGAACTGTGATCTGCCTTTGTGCGTCAACAGCACAAAAGAACTGGAGTTCATAATGAAGCTTGGCAGGAGCCAAGCGTGCTGGGGCAGCCTGTCATCACAGCACTTGGGAGGCTGAGGCAGGAGGGACGTTGTGACTTTGAGGCCAGCCTTGGCTGCAAAGTGAGCTCAGGGCCAGCCTGAACCACATAGCAAGACCCTGTCTCCACAGACAGAAACTTCAAAGCATAGTGTGAGGACGTGAGGCTTAAGACGTGTGCCTGCCGTGAGGTGAGATGGGGAGGGCCCTGTGGTCATTGTAGGTGGTTGATTTTCTTTTTTTTTTACCTGTAAAATTCAATTGTTCTAGCAATGAGCTTTTTGCTTTTATCAAAACATACTGTATCTCTCAAAGAGCTGTGTACTTTTAAAACTTGGTTTGTGATGCTGAGCTTTGGAGAGCTTTGTAAACAGTGCCTCGGGCGTCTTCTCCAACTCTCGGTGTTGGTGACTTTGAACCCCATTTGTTTCCCACCAAGCAACCTCCCCGCGAAGCCGGCCGACGAGGCGCAGAAGCACAGGCAGCAGTATGAGGAGATGGTGGCGCAGGCCAAGAAGCGAGGTGGGTGCCAGGCGGGCCAGGCCGGGCTGCTCGGGCAGGTCCTCGACTTTTGGAACCGTGGCCCCTCAGCTTCCTCAGACTATACTGTCATCAGATTTGTCATTTGCCATGAAAACACGTGGCTCTGTTCATCCGGTAGCTCTCTTTCAAGGTAGCAACTTCCTTAACCTTCCATGAGGACAGAGCCATCTGGGGAGAGTCATGTAGCCAAGAAGGCCTCAGCGGGGTCACAGGAATTTCCCTTCCCGCTGGCAGGAAAATGGGTTGGAGTTGAGGGTCCCTCGGAAAACCTTGATCTCTGTGACTCTTGGCTGCTCTGACATATCACTACGTTAGTTGCGGGGAGTGGAGTGGAGACAACAGCCTTCCGGACGGAGGAGGCCCGGCTGTGCCCAGCCTGGCTGGACCTGCAGGCCATCACCCTAGGTGCAGCCGGCATTGCCTGGGGCAGAGCATCAGCTGGGGGCCTGTAGCCCAGGCTGGCCTTGAACTCAGGGTGATCCTCCTACCTCAGCCTCCAGAGTGCTGGGATTACAGGTGCCACCACATCTGGCATCCTACGTACTTTACGGCACCACTAGAATAACCAGAGGTAAATGCTGTGTAAATAGTCAGTGTAGTTTAGGCATAACGATGTGAAAAGTATCCATACTTTTTTGGTGCCAGTGTGATTTTTCCAGTGTGGAATTCCCCTGCTGGATGGTTGAAAGTGTGGATGGGGAGGGGCATGTGTATGCACTGGGCCCCCCGGGCGCCCACTGCAGAGGGCAGTGCTGAAGCTGCTAACAGTGGGCCGAGGTCACCTGGGGAAGGGCGTCTCAACACATCATGATATCCGATGTTGTGATTGTGGGCTTGTCATCTGTGGACCCACGTGTTGTATCCGCGCCTGTGCCCTTCCCCTACACACACTGCTTGTGAGTCCTCTGCAGGCTGTGCTGGTCCCACTGCAATCAGTGCCCCCATCGCTGTGTGCTGCAGTGGACCCCTCGAGGACTGCCTGCTCTGCATGGTGGTATCACCCGAGAACTGTCCTTGTGCCATTGTGACTTCCAGAGCTCAAGGAAGCCCAGCGCAGGAAGAAGCAGCTGGAGGAGCGGTGCCGAGTGGAGGAGGGCATCGGGAACGCCGTGCTCACCTGGAACAACGAGATCCTGCCCAACTGGGACACCATGTGAGGCCGGGGGCGGGCTGGATGCTGCTCTTCCCGAGCGTGGGCAGCGCCGGGTGTAGGGGGCAATGCCCGCTGCCTCTGTCCACCTGGGAGCCCTGAGGCAGCCCCCCCACAACTCTTGGGGTCCCTTGTATTCCGCAGCCCGACCGTCTCTGGGAAGCAGACAACTCTGTCACTCCCTGAGATTTCACTCCTTCCCAGGGCTCCCAGTGTAGACCTTGACGCTCAGAGTTCGGCTGCCTGGCGCCCCACTCTCTCTGTGGCCTCACCCCACACTTCTCACTTGGGCCCAGCCCTGTCCCTAGAGGACCAGCAGCAGGACTGGAGCTTTTCTACCTCAGGGCCTTTGCATGTTGTTTCCTGAGTCTCGGGCGCCCTTGACCTGAACCCCCTTGTCTTGTTCACTAAAGCTCTGTGTTCCCCAGGGGAGGCTTTCCTGCCCCACCATAGCTCCAGGTGTCTGGAAGACTCCCCAGGGTGCCCTGCTGCCTCTCTAAGAATGGAGACCAGTGCCACTGACCCTGCAGTCAGTGACCCTGGTATCCATGCAGGGCAGGCACCCATGAAGCCTGTGGCTGGCTCGCTCCTAAGGGCCAGTGTCCGCCTCCCTGTCTTCCCGTGTGGTCACAGGAGGCCACTGGGGAGCTCGGGTGGCTTGGTGCTGGGGGTTCTCCAGACAGTGTCCACTGCAGGGCTGTCAGCCCCAGGGAGGGGCTGTGCTAGGCACAGGAACCCGGAGACAGGGCAAGGGTCTTGCACCCTGGCTGCGTGCCCAGTGGCACTGAGCAGCAACCACTGCTGAGTGCATGCTGACCGCATGCCCAGGATATTACCACACCTGGTGCTCATGCAGCCCTCGGAGAAGGCTTCGCTGTCTGGTTTCGGAGGGTACTGCAGGTTCAGGGAGGAGCAGTGGTGGCCCTGGGTCCCCTGGGTGAGGGTGGAGGGGGATTGCCTGGCACTGAAGCCTCAGCCTGCGCCCTGTGCCGTTGCCATGCCCTGTGCAGAGGCACTGCAGTGGCCTACCTCTCTGGTTTTGGGGGTGCGTGTTCACCATAGCACCTGTCCCCTGTGAGGTAGGTGCTCTGGGCTCGTCATCCCCTGTCCCTGTTTTCTGGCAGCTCATAGCTCCAGGTGCACCGATGTGTGTCCCTGTCTGTCTGGGCTCCCCACGGTCCCTCCTGCACCTGTGCCAGCAGAGCCCAGCAAGGGTGCACTCTCCACGCTGGTTGAGGGCAGGGCATCCCTCCCTGTCCCTGGTGCCATGGGTTGTGGAATGGGTGGCTAAATAGCGAGTGTAATTCTGTCCTGTCCAGGTGGTGCTCACGGAAGGTTCGAGACCTGTGGTGGCAGGGAATCCCGCCCAGCGTCAGAGGCAGAGTCTGGAGCTTAGCCATCGGCAACGAGCTCAACATCACTCATGGTGAGCAGCTGCCCTGGGCCCAGCCTGTGTTCCCCCCACCACTGGGAGAAGGGGGTGCTGCCTGCGGGCTGGCAGAGGGGACAGCAGAGGGCCTGAGGCTTCAAGTCAGGCCCGAGGGCTGTGGCTGGTGGGGATGTTTTCAGGCGAGCTCAGTTGGCGAAGTTGGAGAGTCGCCAAGCATCTATTTCAGCGCGCCCCTGTGGTGCCCAAGACCTGTCTGCAGCCCTGTCTGTGTGTCCGTGTGTGCTGGGTTTTCGGTTTTCACTGGTGCTTTGGATTGGATCACAGCACCCTGGGCTAAGCAGCTCCCTAACAACCCCATGTCCGGTGCTTCTGTCCAGCCCCAACCATGTGGCGTGTGGTGCGAGCTGTGTCTGTGTCATGGTATCAGCTGCTGCGGGTCACTTGGGGTCAGCCTGTGCTGGGTCCCCAGGGACAGTTGCTGCGTGGTCCATCAGGTACATCCCATGGTCTGCACCACGCCACGGAGCTGCTCATGCCCACCGTCCCCTGAGGAGCTTAGGCTGCTCCCCGACTCTGAGGTTGGAGCCCGGTTGGTCTTGCTGTAGTTGTGTAACGGGGTGCTTACGGGCCGATCATATGGTGCCGGGGCCAGGCCCTTAGACGGGTCAGGCTCGAGCTCCGATTCTGGGGCCTTATTTCTTTCTTGTCGTTTTCTAGTTTGAAGGTCCTGGGTGTCTATTACTCTTTGTTGGTGTATGTCCGTGTCCGTCTTGGGAGGAGGTGTGCTTGCTCACCACATTTGATTCTTTTTATCCCCCATCCCCAGCGCCCTTTCATCTCCAGACCCCCCTCCATTTGCACGGGTCTGTTCTCCAGTTTCCTGCTATGTCCAGGCCTCTGTCTGTGTCCTCCAGGTTCTCTGGCTCGCCAGGTGGTTTTCCGCAGGACCTGGAGGCACACCATGAGGTTACTTATTTGTGCCAACATGAGCATTTTAGCAATAAACGGCTTTTAGAGGTGCTTTCATTGTGTCCCGTGGGCTCTGGTATGTGGTGCTGGTGTAATTGTTTGATTCTGGGAATTTTTAATTTCTTCTGTGATGCACCAAGCATTCAAGAATGTGTTATTTAATGTCTAGGTTTTCGTGAAATTTCTGTGGTTTCTTTTGCCATTAATTTCTAACTCCTGTGTTCTGCGATCTGAAAGTCTGTGTGCAGTGGTTCTGGTTCTCTGGCTATGTGGTCTGTTTTGGAAAAAGCTCCACGTGTACCCTGCGGTGGGGTGGAACACCTTGACGGTAACTGTTGAGTCTATGTGGTTCAGCTCTATTTCTTTGTTGATTATTTGTATACTTACGTGTTTTGAGACAGACAGTAGTTTGTCTCAAACTACTCACTGTGTAGTTCAGGTTGGCCTTGAACTCCATCCTCCTGCCTCAGCCTCCTGAGTGCTGGGATTCCACGTTTTGTCCACGTGCCAGTGGGGTGATCACGGTCCCTGCCATCGTCCTGTTGATGTTCATTTGATCTTTTGCATGTGGCAATAGCTGTCCTGTGCAGTCACGGCTCTGGTGTTCCACCCGTGTGTGTTTACATCACTGCCGCGCCACACACAGCTGTGTGACCGTGGGCGGATTTTGTAAAACCTTTGACCCACTTGGCTGAGGGTGCCAGGTCCTGGCTGGGGAGCGGCTCCTAGTGCTCACTGGTGACACACTTCTTGTCCGTCTCCTCCTGGAGGACAGAGTGTCGAGTGGCTCCCTGGGCTTGGGTGCCCTCTGCTTGTCTCTGCAGCAGTGGCCCCTAACCCTGGGGGCACAAGGTTGCGTTTGTGATTTGTGCCGGCTGCTTCAAGTTGGTCTTCACAGGCCTGTGGCGAGGTCATTGGTCCCGAAACCGCGCGGCTGGAGCTCAAGGTGCCACAGCCAGCGCATGTGGCCCGGGGACAGATGTGCCCTCTTCCTTCTCCAGAACTGAGGCCGGAGGAAATAAGCCCCTGTGGGGTGTGTCAGTCCCAGCCTCGGAGGTGACTGTGGACACAGCTGCGGGACGTGGAGCACCGTGATAGGGAGGGCTCACAGAGTAAAGGGCAGAGCGTCTCCCAGGACATCCATGCCCCAGGAAAGCAGCTGTCCAGCATGCTAAGAGACTCCAGCTCTACCCCTGTAGTCCCAGCGCCCAGGAGGCTGAGGCAGGAGAATTGCTGCGGGCTCCATCAGCAAGATCAAGGCCAGCTGCACTATAGGAGAAACCCCCATCTCAGAAAAACCCAAAAAGACCAAGCAAAACGAACTCCAGCTCGAGTTAGTGATCCTGGAAGTCTGCTAGCTTTTTCTTTCTGGTACAGGGGAGGAAACTCATGACCTTGTGTTTCCCTATCTGGCACTTATGCCTGTGAGCTGAACCCCCTGGCCCCAAGTCTGCTGGCTCAGCAACAAGCTCCACGTCCCTGCCCGTCTGCCTCTGTGACACGCTTTGTCACGTGGTGAATTCTATTTTCAGCTTTCACTGTCTTTTCTAAGTTTTTTTCTTCGCTTTAAGAACACGTGTCATCAATAAATTTTTACATTTATCACGCCGTGTTTTGCCTTTACAGTTCCAGAACTGAAGGTATAAATGGTTTAAAGGCTCTTAGAAAATTCTAACTGTGCTACATGGTTTTTACAAATTTCTCCTCTGGGAAGGGCACCGCTGCAGTGCCAACCCCACATGACGCGCTCTGTGTGTAACAGGACCTAGGCTCGGAACATAGTCCGGGAAAGCGAGGTGGCCTCCTGTACGTGCATCTGTAAGGGCGGTCGGGACCCTTTGGAACGCCCGCGCGAGTGGCCCTGGCTCCTCTCGGTTGGATCAGTCTTTGGCAGACATGTGGGCTCAAGCTGGTGCGGACCCAGGCTTGCAGTCCTGGCAGCATAGCAAGGCCTGTTTCCCTGTGAAAGGGGAAGAGGACATGGCTGTTAGTTGCTGCAGATTTGGCTGCCACTTCTGCCTAGATGATAAGTAAATGAAGTAACGCTGCCAGGTGGTCTGACACTGCTCAGTGGAGGGCGGCAGAGCTGGGGTGCAGCTGCCATCCGAGGTGCCAGCCCTGTGCCTCCCTTCTCCGTGTCTCCCTGGGAGTGCGGCCCCTCTGCTCCTGGTCTCTGCCCAACTGGCTCGACGTCCTGAGTGTTTTTCAATCAGACTTTAGGGGAGGTTTTGGTGTGCAGAGTCTGTGCCAGCACACGGTCTGGCTTGCTCTTTCCCCGTTTCCTACTCCCTCAGCCCTTCCTCCCCTCCCCATTTATAAACGCTGTTTCCATCCCCCCCACCCCCTTGTTCCCCCCCCACTTGAATGCTCTGTCTTACAGTACCAGTCGTGCGTCTTGGTCCTTATTTATACTTTCATTTCCTCATAGAAACAGTGCAGCGTTTACACACGTGCATCTGAGTTTTTTAGCTAAGAGGATGTCTCAGGTGCAGCCATTTACCTAGAAACGTCCCTGGCCTTTTTTATGGCTGAGTAGTGCTCCATGGTCTTAAAAAGCACTCCCACCCATCTGCTCTCTGTGTTCACCAGTTGGTGGTCACTGGGGCTGTACCCAGGATTCGGCTGTAGCTCACTGTGCTGCTGTGTGCCTGTTTGTGCTCTTAGAATACAGTTGTCGCCTGTTTTATTGTGTAAGGTGCCTGTGCTGTGTCCTGTTGTGTTTTTATGTTTCTAAAATAAATCTCCTTTGGAAACAGTGCATGGAAGTCCTACCACGTTCTCCGAGAAACCGTGATTCTTGTCTCACTGCTGGTAGCTGTGGGTAGGCAGTGGGCACAGTTGTCACATGTCACAGTGGCACCAGCTTCCCTTCAGGTCAGCTTCACATGTGCACCAGCGGCTCAGGCTAGTGGGAACATGGTGAAGAATTTTTTTTTTCGTAGAAGGGAATTGAACTCATGACCTCAGTGCTTGCCAGGCAGGTGCTTATGCCACTGAGCTAAATCCCCGGCCCATGTTGAAGAATTTTTAAAATCATCCTCTTCGTGATTTTATTTTATTTTTTGTCTTTTTGAGACAAGGTCTCGCTATGCGGTCCAGGCTGGCCTGGAGCTCACTTTGTAGCCCAGGCTGGTCTCCTAATTGCAGTGATCCTCCTGCCTCAGCCTCCCGAGTGCTGGGATTACAGGCGTTTGCCACCACACCCGGTTTGTTTTCAACGTTGTAGGGTTTTGATCTTGGGGGACCTCAGCATTCAGGGTTGTGGTGCTCAGGCTGTGTCTTTGGACATGGAGGTCACACTCGTGTGAGCTGTGGGGTTTCCTGGTGCCCTTGGTCCTGGCCAGGTGTCTTTGTCCTTCCCAGTGTGCGTGCCATGGGCGTCGCCACCCAGCCAGCTGGTCATCGTAGGGCAGAGGGCAGAGCCAAGCACAGTGTGGGGTGCATGAGCTGCCAGTGCAGTCAGGAGAGATGGACAGCGGCCTGGCCGGAGAAGCAGGCCCTCAGTGTCCTGTGTCACTGAGGCGTGCATGGCACCAAGACTCACTGAGGCTTTTCTTCCAGAGCTCTTTGACATCTGCCTGGCACGGGCCAAGGATCGGTGGCGGTCTCTCAGCACGGCCGGTGCTGAGGCGGACAGTGAAGGTAGGAGCTGTGTGCAATGGTCCCGTCCCCCCACCGTGGCCCAGTCTGCCACGGCCCCGTCCCCTCCCAGACCCGCCCCCCCCCCATGGCCCAGTCCCCCACAGTCCCGTCCCCTCCTGATAGTCCTGTCCTCCCCCGAGGGTCCCGTCCCTCCCGACGGCCCATCCCCTGGTGTCTGCCTGGCTCCCCAGGCCCAGGGCTGTGGTTTCCTGAGGCCCTGTGGCCATGCTGAATGAGGCCCTTGGCTGCTGAGATGAAGCACTGGGAGTCAGATGTGTTAGGAGTTCGCCGTCTGTTCATCTAGATGGGGAGGCAGGCGGAAGGTCGCTTCCTGGTGAAAGGCTGCCTGCAGACAGTAATTGTTTCGGTGGCTGTTTGGAGTTTTGCAGGACAAAAAGCGGAGTTTACATTCATCCTTTATTTTTCTTGGAACTAAGAGTTGAACTTAGGACCTTACATTGCCAGACAGGTGCTGTGCCCTGAGCTACAGCCCTGGTCCTCTTGGGAGCGGGGACTTGGGAGGTGACATACATTCATGGCAGAGGTTCAGCAGACCTCGCCGAGGAGGAAGGAAGGCCTGAGGGCGAGGGAAGGGGAGGCCAGCACGTCGTGGCCAGAGGTCAGGGACAGGCTGTGGGGAGCCGGGGCCCGGCAAGGCCCAGGGCTGGCAGGCCCACATGTGGCTGTCGGTCCCACCAGCAGCTTGTGTCTCGAGGCAGAGCTCCCCCGCCGCAGCTGTGGCCACGCACAGGGGCACCGAGTCCCGGAGCAGCAGAGTAAATCCCAGCCTAGAGGGTGTGGGTTCCTGGAAGCGCTGTGTCCTGACCCGCCGGGCTGCTCTGGGCTGTTATCTCCAGAAGCTGCTGCCAGGCGGCTGGACCCACACGGGGTGACTGCTTTCATTACATGTTTGCCATGGACTTTTCAAGCATTGTGTGGAAAGAGCATGTGAACTGACAGCACAGGTTCTTTGTGAGCCTGGGTCTGAGATACTACCTAGTGTCACAGCGCAGGAGGGCCGCAGCTGGTCCCATTTATTTTACCTTTTCTGTTTTGTTTTGGTCTTTTTGAGACAAGATTAGCCTGGCCTGGAGCTCACTTTGCAGCCCAGGCTGGTCTTGAACTCACAGTGATCCTCCTGCCTCAGCCTCCCGAGTGCTGGGATTACAGGTGTGCACCACCACGCCCAGTTCAGTTTACTTTTATGTTGGCAGAAAACAGGCACATGATTGTGCAGTGCCTACTTCAGTGAGGTGACACAGCTGCAGTTTTTGTAGTAAGGACACTTCCGAGCTGCTGTCTTACCATTTTTGAGAATCCGGTATACAGTTACCTGTGGTCCCCAGGCTGGCCGTTATAGTCCTCCTGGGCTGAAACCTGGCTTTCTTTGACCAGTCCTTCCCGGCCCTCTGTCCCCTGGAAGCCCCCATGCAGCTCTGTGTCTGTGAGCCTGACACTTCTAGGTTCCAGCAGAACGGAGGCCGTGTGGTTAGGCTCACTGTACCTGGTTTATGTCACCAGGCATAATGTCCCCTGGCTCATGCATGTTGTTGGAAGTGACAGGCACTCCTTTTAATGGCTGCATAGTGTTCCACCCACTGCCTTTGCCGCACTGTCTTCCCCACGCCTCCGTCAGTGACCACTCAGTGAGCAGCGGTGCTGCTGGGAGTGCCGAAGCCGTTTGTCAGCCTGCTCTCATTTCCTGGGGGTCTGCACCCAGGAGTGCAGGGGTGTCTAGGTCCCATGCAGCTGCCTTTAATGGTTTAAGCCCATGTGTGCTGTTTGTGCCTGTGATGCTTAAGACCACGTGATGCTTCTGTGGCTCGTGCCCAGGGTTCGTGGATGCACATCCCTTGCTTCCTCATTTCCCCACTGTGGGTGCCCATGGTGCTTTACTCCCTGCCCACCACTCAGCCGGAGCAGGCTCTGCACCGGGCTCCCCTGGAGGACCAGGTCGGTGTCGTGCTGCTGGGGCTGCAGAGCCTGTGACCCCCCGCTGGTCTCTCCATAGATGCTGGGTTCCCTGCAGCAGACAGGGAGGCCAGCCTGGAGCTCATCAAGCTGGACATCTCCAGGACGTTCCCCAGCCTCTGCATCTTCCAGCAGGTAAGGGTGCTTCCCTTCCCTGTATGTGTGAGCAGCACTGAGGTGCGAGGGGTCGGGGGCAGGGACCCCTTCCATCAGGAATCGCTGCAGGTGCCTCGTCGGGACCTGTGTCGGCCGGGCCCTGTGGGTGTGCCCTCGCGGTGGCCTGGGCTCTTCTGCTGTGTGCCTTGGGAGCCCGCACTGAGAATCCGGGCGGGGGACGGGCTGCCAGGCTGTGTTCCTCCCTTCCCAGCGCCGCTGCCCCTCGAGCCCTACACCACCTCCCCCCCTTCCCGGCCTCCTGGTCTCTGCCCTTCACCTCCTGGGCTTCATGCAGCACCTCTGGCCCCACTGTGGTGCCCTGCACAGTTCCCCCTTGCAGGCTGGCACAGGAGTGGCAGGAGGATAAGGCTTAACCAAGTGTGGAGGGTGGGGCAGGGAGGGGAGCCGGACTCTGCCTGCCTGCGGAAGTGCTAGGCCGGCACAGGGAAGCCGAGCGTGGGTCAGGTGGGTGGAGCTGGGGGGTCCTGATGGTGGCCAGGAAGGCTCCGGGCCTCAGGAACTGGCGCAGAGCAGTGCCAGCTCGCACCGAGGCCTCTGTGCTCCAAGTGCAGCAGCTGTCCCCCGGAGCGACTCTGTGCCATGCATCCTGCATGATGGTGCTGTGCCCTCATATCCTGTGCGCTCCGCTTCCACCCCAGCCTCTGGCTGCCGCAGCTGGCCCTCTGCCTGCCGGCTGGAGCCATGAGTGGCTGTGCCACCATGAGGGTCTCTCCTGGGGCCGGCGGGGCCCTCAGTGGCATGGGCTGTGCTCTCCCTCCCTCCCTCCCCCCAGTGCCCAAGCCCAGTCCCACCCGGGTCTTTAGGAACCCTCGCCAGAGGGGATGCCACACAGGCAGGACAGGGTGGGGTACTCTACAGGCCACCCCCCGCAGCCTCCAGCCCCTCCCGCTCACCCAGGGAGCTTTCTCCACCCTGGGCCCCACTTCTTTTTGGGGGGGTACAGGGAGTGGAAGCCACGACCTGGTCCTGGCCAGGCAAGGCTGAGCCACACCCCAGGCCTCCCATCCCTTTCTTTCTTTGGCCTCCCTGTCCAGGATCCCTGCAGGTCACCCGCCATGCAGCCTCGGCAGTTGGGCTGGGGTGGACTGAGGGCTTCAGGACTCGGGCTCCTGATTATCTGCATGGCATGGTGGGGGTTACAGCCCTGGCAGGACGAGTGGGGTAACCTCTCTAGTCGGCAGAGGGGAAGCGAGGGAGGACTTTGGAAGCAGAGGCCCAGGGCAGGGAGCAGGTGGAGCTGGCAGGCAGCACTCATGGTGTGGCGGGCAGGGTTTCTGTGTGGTCTAAGGTTGGGGCCCAGGTAATCAGCATCCTTGCGCTGTGAAGTTCTAGCAGAAGTGGAGGCCCAGTCCTTGGCCTCTGGCTCCTGTGTTCCCTATGTGTTGCTCAGGTGTGGACTCCCAGGGGCTCCGGGTTCTCTGTATGGGAGGGGCAGAAGGTGGGGGTTTGCCTATCTCTGGCTGTCACGAGTGGGCAGTGGTGAGTCCAGTGGGCTGGGAGGGAACCTGGGCACCCAAAGCAAGCTCAGGGCTTCTGGAGAAAGGCGCTGGTGCTGCCGGTCCTGGGTGAGCACGTGGAATTCAAACCCGAGACTCCAGCCTGGTGTGGCAGTGCAGAGAAGGCTCTGTGTGGGTCCCCATTCTGCATGGGTCTCCTTGCAGCCCTCGAGCCCTTGGGTTGGGACAGGTAGGGAGGATGCCAGAGCCACTCACCTGCTGGCCGGGACGCACTTACACAGGAGCCAGATGGCAGGGTGGCCTGACCCAACCAGTCTCCAGAGCTGTTGTGCCGCCCGAGCTGCCTGGCGTTAACTGCAGCCGCGGCTTCCCCTGTAACAGTGCAGTGCATATGGCAGGCTGCTCCCCGCGCAGAGCCACGCGTGGCCTCACGCTGTCACACACTAACAGCACTTACACGGGTGTCGTTCTGCTGTGTCCCTCCCTGCAGGGCGGCCCATACCATGACATGCTGCACAGTATTTTGGGCGCTTACACTTGCTACCGGCCGGATGTGGGTTATGTAAGTGAAGCCTTTCTGAATCCTGTGATCTGTCTCCCGGCCCAGGCGCTGAGGAGTCGTGCATAACCCGGGCGACTCAGTGTGCTCGTAAAGGGGTCTCTCGGACCCAGCTGCCCTGTGGCGATGTCACAGCGCCGCTGGATGCGGGCTGTTTCACATGTGACTTTCCCACATTTAAAGCCTTCAGCAGTAAATGTTTTAAGAAGCGCTGCTGTTCCCAGCTTAGCAGCTGTGTGTGTGCATGATATAACTGCACGCCAAGTGGGATATCGGGGCGGTGTTTCAGATGCGGAACCCGCTGGGGTGCACTGGGGGTCCTGTTGTGGGGGCTGGGGAGCCGGGAGGGCAGAGCAGGTGGCAAAGGTGACCCTGGGCCTTGCTAGCATGGGGCACTCGGTTCTTGCACAGGTGAGAGCTGCTGTGACCTTCATGCTGTGGTCAGCTGTCCTGTTCCTTCCTGTAGGTGCAGGGCATGTCCTTCATAGCTGCAGTGCTGAGCTTGAACCTGGACACTGCCGACGCCTTCATCGCCTTTTCTAACCTCCTGAATAAGCCCTGTCAGATGGCGTTCTTCCGGGTGGACCATGGCCTTGTGAGTACTGGCTCTCGGTGGGCAGAGGAGGGTATCCCCCTCTGTCCGGGCCTGTGTGCAGCTTGCTCGTGGGCGCAGGTATGAGGCTGCGGTGATGCCACATCTTCCGGGAGGGCCTCCTGCAGCCGGCGAGGCTGCTCCCCGTCCAAGCGCTGTTCCTGGGAGACGGAGCTCCATGGTTAGAAGAGGGCAGCGCTAAACCCAGTGCTGGGTTGCAGGTGTTGCCCACACCGAAGACATGGAAGGGGAGGTGCTGGGGTTGGGGAGGGGCAGGAGGGTGCCGGGTGGCCTGAGATCGCCTCTGCTGGGGATGGAGCAGCCTGCTTCCAGGGCCGGGCCATAGCCGAGGTGCGGAAGCAGAGGCCTAAGAGCGACTGGCTGTGAAGCCAGTGCCGTTTTGGTCACTGACAGTCATCGCCCTGGCTTCAAGGGCCAGCCACCCTGTAGTTGGATGATGTGCGGTTTCTAGGTGTTGTACAGCCAGCCAGACCCCTGGCCCACATTTAACCATGGGAGGAGCTGCGTCACAGCATAGTGTCCTGATGGGCAGCGTGTGGGAGTGAGCTCTGTGCTGCGAGGGTGTACCCGGGCACGGCGCAGCTCTGGCGGCCAGGCGAGGCTTTTCTTTTCCAGGAAGGACTGCAGAGAACCTTCAGGTTGCAGATGCTCATACACATGGGGTTTGCATTCCTTCCAGTATTCATTCCTGGCCGTAAATTTAGTTCCATTTTATTGTGTGTAATAACATGATTTCCACTCAAACTCCTGCTAATACTAAAGAACACAACTTTCTCTTTGGAAAAGCAACGTGATAAAAACTGTAGTTAGGCTGGGTGTGGTGGCACATGCCTGTCATCCCAGCCTTCAGAAGGCTGAGGCAGGAGGATCACTGCAAGTCAAGGCCAGCCTGGGCTATGTAGTGAATTCAAGATCACTCTGAACTGCATAGTAGGATCCTGTCTCAAGGAAACACAGAAACAAAGGCTGTACTTAGAGAAGCCCTAAAGTTGCAGTGCTGAGCGGGACCTGGGCGTAGACAGGTTCTCCTAGTAGCCCCTGCCCCAGGCCGGGTCACCCTGGTTCAGGCTGCCCTGTGAGTCAGCCGGGGTCACCACAGCCTGGCCTCAGCATGCTCATGCCAGGAGCCCTGTCCCCTCTTGGGACACTCACCTGTGTCTCCAGATAGGAGCAGACCTCCCCGGGGAGGCAGGAAGGCCCCTGGGAAGCACTGGCCTGTAGCGTGGCCCCTCCACAGCTGCCGCTGCCCTCACATGAACCTTAGCTTCTGTAAGGCACCTGTGGGTCGGTAAGGGGCAGGCAGCACCTCTCCCCTCAGCTCTTGCTGCGGGCACCCAGTGTTCAGCCAGCTGGAAGCCCCGAAGTCACCCCGCTGTCCCCTGGAGGGCCGGGCTGGGCTGAGGCCGGTGTGTCTTCCCTCGGCCCCTCTTGGTGGTCAGGGTGGATCCAAGCCCGGCTGCCTGCTGTGCCCGCTCTTTGGTGATGAGCTGCAGGCCACTCTGGGTTTCTGGTCTGTTCTGTGACGTGGCTGGTGATGCTGCCATGAGCACGCCCGTGAGAGGGCGGCCACGGGAAATGAGCCGGGACAGTGCCCAGGAGCTGCTACTCAGGGCGGGCAGCGGTTGGGTAAGAGTCAGCTGTGCGGTCCTTGGGAAGGAAGCTCGTGCCCAGGAGGGCTGACGTGCCTGCCTTCCTTCTCTCCCTAGATGTTGACCTATTTTGCCGCATTCGAGGTGTTCTTTGAGGAAAACTTGCCGAAATTATTTGCTCATTTCAAGAAGAACAACTTGACTCCAGACATCTACCTGATCGACTGGTAGGGCTGCTCCCGCGCGTGCCCTGCCCCTGCCCCTAACCCTAACCCTGCCCTCCCTCACACCCTTGGGCCTCTGGCTCCCGATGCGCTGGCTGCTGCTGTGCTGTCTTCATGGCCGCGCTTCCCTGGTGGCACCCAGTAGCAAGGCTGGCAAGCTTGGGTCCGTCAGCTGGTTCCTCAGCGTGGACAGCACTGGTGCCCGCGCTTCCCCGTGCTGCGGTCGTGGACTCAGGCTGGACTCACGGTGGTGCCCTCGTGTTCCCGCAGGATCTTCACCCTGTACAGCAAGTCCCTGCCCCTGGACCTGGCCTGCCGCATCTGGGACGTGTTCTGCCGGGACGGGGAGGAGTTCCTCTTCCGCACTGCCCTAGGCATCCTCAAGCTGTTTGAGGACATCCTGACCAGGATGGACTTCATCCACATCGCCCAGTTCCTCACGCGGCTGCCTGAGGACCTGCCGGCGGACGAAGTGTTTGTGGCCATCGCCACTGTCCAGATGCAGAGTCGCAACAAGAAGTGGGCGCAGGTGAGTGGCTCGCCGCCCCTGCCTGGAGCTGCAGGCGAGGCGCTGGCTCCGGCTGGCCCTGCTGTGGGTGTGCTCCCGGTCTGTCGGCTGGAGGGGCGGCAGCCAGCACTGCTGCAGCTTCTCATCCCCAGCACACAGGTGCTGGCCGTGTCCTGCGTGGGAAGGGCCCGTGGTGGGTTCTGAGTTCTTGAAGAGATTGGACCGGGCCCTCACGGTCCCTCTTTGTCACGCACTGCAGTGGCTCTGGTGGTTGCATGCGCTGAGCAGCTGTGGCCTGGGCGTCTGGGCGTCACTGTCAATCCCCCAGGCGTCCTTGACGCCCTGGCCGCGGGTTTGCCAGTCCTGTTGTCTCCAGTCTTCTGCCCTGCCTGTGCACCTCGGCCCTGTCCTGCCGTGCCTGGCCTGGAGGGGGGCCAGGCCCCCAAGGACTGCTTCCTGGGCCCAGGGCAGCACTGCTGTTGGTTCAAGGCCTGCTCAGAGCCAGAGGGAGACAGGCACAGGCCTCTTTTGTCCCCCAGCCTGAGGAGCTGTGATGCACAGCAGTGATGCCTCAGCCGTGCATGTGCGGGTGACACTGGTAAGTGTGTTTCCGCACGCACTGCTTCAGTAGAAGCCGGGAGCTCCTGTGGAAGGTCAGCCTCGGGTTTCCTGGCCTGATATTGTCAGTGGCTCTCTGCTTGAGCTGTCCCAGTGAGGTCCAGCACCGTGACGGCCAATAAAACTCCCAGAGTGGAGTGTGGAGCTGCAGCCCGCCGCCTCCCCGCGTCTGCCTGTGGCAGGGTGCAGGCCCCAGGTCCTCGCCTCCCTCTGCCAGGCCCCACCTTGCTGCTGCTGCAAGACCCTATGACCACCCCAGGGCTGCCCCAAGGCTGAGGGGACTGGCTGGTTGGCAGGATCATGACCTGTGACACGGTTTATCTTCTAACTCCCGTGGGAGGTGGGTTGCTGGTGCCTTGGCCTCGGCATCACATCTGTCCAGCCGCTCCAGCACATCCTGTCTGTCCCTGCTTCCTACACCCTCTCTGCCTGGCTGGTGGAGCATGGCCTTGGTGACCACTCGGAGCACTCTGAGCCCGGCCGAGCTGCCCACTCCCATGGGGGCTGCGGAGGAGGAGGGCAGCGTTGGCCGGGGCTCCAGTACGCACACTTGGAGATGCAGCAGCTGAGGTCATGCCCACGGCCACTTGGGTCCTGGGCACCCGTGGCAAGGCTGGCCTTCCGGTCCGCAGACCCTGTGGCTTCAGGGTGCTCTGAGGTGCGGACAGAAGCCAGCAAGTCTGGACGGCTTCCTGCCCTGGTGGGCTCAGGCCCAGGCCCACAGTGGCAACTGTCATATCCCATTTTAGGACCTGAAAACTGTGCTGTAAGCAGGGGAGGGCCAGAGTAAGGGGGCAGGAAGTATCAGTGAGGTTTACGCAGCGGACCTCTTGGTGGGGGCCGCTGGGAGCATTTTCCAGAGAGAAAAATTTGCCTCGGGGACGGAGGGAACTTTTGTTTCTTAGTCCTATCAGGTCATGTTTTGTTGTTTTCTCACTGTGTAGTGCAGGTTGCCTGGGATCTCACAGGCGACCCTCCTGCCTCAGCCTCCCGAGGTATGGGATTGCACATTCACATCCAGCCCCAGGAAACTTATGAAAACTACCTGAAATGTTTTTGCTTTCCACTTGGCTTAGGGACTTGGTGTGGTACTGGGCCACCCCACCTCTGGGTGGGAGGGTCTGCGCCACCCAGATGGCCCTGGTTCTCGAGGATAGGGCTGAGTGCCTTCTTTGCAGTGGGTGCTGCCATGTTGGACCAGTGTGTGGAAGTGCCGGTCCGGCAGCACCGAGAGATGTGTGGGGTATGAGAGGGTTCAGAAGCACAGTCCCTGCTGTCCCCAGTGCCGCCCAGAAGTCACTGTCCGGCAGATGTGTTAAAGAGCTGTGGGCGACACTGCGAGAGCAGAGGGGGTCGCTGTCTGTGGGGCAGAGGCCGAGGCAGCCACTGGCCGTGGCTCGCCCAGTCCCTGCAGATGTCTCTGTGCTTCCAGGTGCTGGCCGCGCTGCAGAAGGACAGCCGGGAGCTGGAGAAGGGAAGCCCCTCGCCCAGGCACTGATTCTGGGGACGCCGGGCGTCCAGACCGATACCCGGTCGCGGAGCAGCCGTGTCCTGTGGGTCCCGACACCAGAGCTGGCCTTAAACACCCAAGGCAAAAGCGCTCTGAGGGATGGAAGCCCAGGCGCTCTGCCCTCTCTCCTTCATTAAATCTCCACACTGTGACGCCAGTGACCAGGAAGTAGATGACAGTTCTTAAGCAGGGCCCACGAGTGACATTCCGCATGAGGCCTCTGAGCTGCGGCCAGCCACGTTTTGGGTAAGGGTGGAGTTGTTGGTGTCGATTCGGAGGTCTCTTCAGCGCTGGAGGAGGTCACATTGGAAAACCCAGGAACCAAAGACAGTGCCAGGAGCCGGGCCCTGCCTTGCCAGCAGGTGCTGGCGAGTCCACCTGAGTCCACCTGGGCTTGCTGTGGCCATGGGGAGCTGTGTGCAGGCCGGGCCACCTGCCCAAGGGACAGGGCGGCCGAGGATGAAGCTAGCTGTGTGCCAGAAGCCTAGGCGGGGAGGCCCGTGTCCGCTCCTGCAGAGGGTCCCCCTCCCTGCCTTGTCCCCCACACCGTGCTCTCCCCGCCCCATCAGGCTTGAAGAGATGCACTTCATAAGCTGCGATCAGGATGAGGCCCAGCAGCCTAGTCCAGCCCGGCCTCCTTCAGGACCATTGGCCCTTTCTGTTGCAAGTTCATTGGTGAATTCCGGGGTCTCACTTCTCCTTGAGGCTTCTGAGAACTTTGTGTAAGAAAGTAGATTATTGGGATTCACAGAAACAAAGTTTTCCACAAGCTCATCCCAAGCACAGGCCAGCGCCGGCATCTGTGGGGACATTGCCAAGTGGCTGCCCCACCCGCAATGCTGCCTGGGTGCAGGAGGCCGGTGCAAGCGCGGGAGTCACTTGCAAGTGCCTGTGTGGCTGCAGGCCACAACTTCCTCAACCATGGAAGGGGACGTGGGCAGGTGGCCGACCTGTGCCGCCGCCCTCCTGGTGGACTCGGGCAGGTGGCCAAGCCGTGGTCACCCCTGCTCTCTAGTCCCCGTACCCTGTGCCCCCCTCCCTCCTGGATCCGCTGCTCCCCTGCATCTCCCAAGTTTCCCAGGAGGCCACAGGGCACCAGGAAGCCGTTTCTGCCCCTACCCCTTCCTGCCACCAGGTATGGAGTGTCACAGGCCTGGTGGCTGCACTTGCTCGTGGACTGTTAAGTCTGCCCCTCGATGCGCCACACACCAGACGTGTGTGGGTTTTCTCACTGCAGGGAGAGGCGCTCCCAAGCCATCTGGAAGGTGGTGGACACCGGTCTCAGGCATTGCGTCCCCAACCGACTCCAGTGTTCCCCGCCTACGTTTTGAGTTTCCTGTCCCCTGTCCCAGGAGTCTGGTGCACATTGCATTTCAAACAGGCTTGCTTGCTGTCTGGAGCACTGACCGCAGCTCTAGTCCAGACCTGGCTTCATAGCCTGTTCAGGGATTGCAGGCTCAGACGTGTCCCTGGCCTTGGCCCTGGCCCTGTCCCCTGTGCAGAGTGGTGCTGGTCTGGTGGCAGCCGGGGTCTGTGTCCTGACAGTGTGGCAAACCAGAAATGGATACCCAGGCGCTGCCCTCCTGAGCTGAATCCACTTCGTTCCTGGCTGGTAAGGCTGGGACCTCAGGTTGGGGCCACACCTCGCCCTCTGCCTGTCCCTGCAGTCCCTGGGACAGTGTGCACCCCTGGGGTACTTTGTAACTGCTGGGGTTGTGACTTTCAAATCTTTGGCTGGTAGAAAAATCCTGGTAACACTTCCTACATGCCATGTTTTAATTGCTTGTACAGTAACCTTTAATCTTATTTAGTAACGTGTATCAAAGTAGGACTTTTGAATTGTAAATATGTAGTTTTATTAAATAAAAGTCATGTAAATTGTTACATTCATTGTCCATGGGTTTTAAAGTTGAAATTCTCACTTTCTGTGTTGTTTTTCAAGACCATCTCCCTACATAGTTGAGGCTGGCTTTGAAGTCACTGTGTAGGTAGGCTGACCTCAAACTCTTGGAGAGCCTCCTGCCTCAGCCTCCTGAGTGCTGGGATTACAGGTCTTACTTTATGGCAGAAATTTGCCTGATCATTCGGGTGCCTGAATGTCTCAGGGCTCGTCGCTGGGTTCACCAAGGAAGGGCGGTGTGGTCACAGAGGGCTGCCCTGCCTATGGCCCCGGCCCATGCTGTCCCCCTTCCTTGCTTGCAGTTGGCACTTCATGCCAGCCACCAGGCCTTCCATGGGGAACCAGTCACCGAGCGTCAGCTCTGAGGGTGCTCCGGGCTCCTCCCATGAGCCACACAGCTCACAGGTGACTATGAGGGTGGAGGCAGGGTGCTGTTCCCCTGTGGACCATGCTGGGGAACTTCACGTGAGTGCCAGGAGTCGCCTTGGTTTAGCAGGACTCTTGCCGTAGGCCTGTCGCTCCACAGGTAAAGGGTGCCCTTGGGCCAGGGTTCTGTGCGGCCTGCGAGTGGGGCTGGCAGTGACCTGGGCACCTGTGCTGAGGGCTGGCGGCCTGACCCGGCCACGCTGGGCTCTGCACTAGTGATTCCTTCGTCTCCACAGCAGCTCTGGGGGAAGTGTGTGGTTCAGAGGAGCCCTCGGGGGCCCCTGAGGTGCCCACACTGACTAACCCCGGTGGAGGTGCTCAGCCACGGTATAGTATGCTCAGCGTCTGTGCCACGCCTGGTGCGCAGGCTCCTGCCTTTCGCCAGCCCCTCTGTGAGCGCTGTCCACTGCCCGCCCCGCTGGCCTGGAGCACAATGAGCCGCCCCTGCCAGCTGGCCCGTGGCCAGGGCCCAGGCACTGTGGGTGCTGAGCCTACGGTGGGGGCTCTGGAGCTCTGAGCGGACCTCTCCCCAGGGGCACCGCAAAGCCCGTCATCCTGGACCCAAAAGCCTCATGTTGGGCCCCGGAGCCTCAGCTTCCCTTGCTATTCCTCAGTTTTTCCCCCTGGAGCTCCTGGTGGGCACTGCACCAACCAGAAATAAACCAGAACTGGGGTACAGTGTTGCTGGGGGCTGGGCCTGGGCCGGCGGCTGAGTCCTGAAGCCTGGCTTCCCTTTTGTGTAACCAAAGGCCCTCCTGGGGTGCCCGAGCGGCTGTGCACTGTTTTGTGAAGACTAAACAGAAATCAGAGGCTTTCTGAAACTACACTGCAGGAGCCCAGGAACAACAAGCTGGCACGAGCTGTACGTGGTGGTGAACACCTGTAACCCTAGCACTCGGGAGGCTGAGGCAGGAGGATCACTGTGAGTTCAAGACCATTGTGAGTTACAAAGTGAGCTCAAGGCCAGTCTGAACTGCATAGCAAGACCCTGTCTCAAAAAGACACACACACACACAAACAAAGCAGAAAAAAATAAAAACAAACCAAAAATGGGAAAAAGAAAAAAAAAAACAGAACCTAGAAACACTGAGTATCTTATTTAACTCTTGAGCTTACATTTTAAAAAATGAGATTTCTCCCCTAATTAAATGCATGTCATTGTATAAAATTTGGAAACAGAAAAGCACAAAGCAAAAAATTCCTCTTAATTGTATCACCCAGAGAAGACAAGTTTTCAAATTGTCTTTATTCTATAAATACGTTTCCTAAACAAGGACACTGACCTCATAAAAGGCGACGTGTCCCGTCTCGTGCCAGCCTCATTCCTAGGCCTCTGCGCTGTGACTTGTCTTCTAGACCCATCCTGTGTTGATCTTTGGCAGCCTTTGGATGAGATGTTAGAAGACTCCTCAGTTAAAAAACTTAAGTCATTTCATGTTTGGTGAGGCACACTTGAAATGCTAGCACTCTGAAGGAGACTGAAGCAGACTGAAGCAGGAAGATCACCGTTCACGCCTAACCCAGGCAACTTCAGTGAGACCTTGTCTCAAAGGGCCGGGGACGTAGCTCTGTTGTAGTCAGCCAGTTAATAGCGAAGCAGAGCTTTGTTGGATCTGCATGTTTAGTCACTGGTTATTTAGGGAAGAGCTGGAGGACCTTCGGAGGGGGTGGTTGGCACTGCCTTTCCATGCCCAGCGAGTGCCTGGTGCGCTGGCCCTGATGTTTTGCAGAGGAGCACCCCATCTCGGTGCCAGAACCCTGAATCATGGTAGCAGGGAACTTGTTCCACCTGAGTGACCTTGGAAAGGGTGGCAGGGAGTCAGCAAAATTGATTTGCACTTACAAGTGGAAAGTGTTTGCTTCCAGGCCCTGCGCTGTGGACAAGGACAGCAGAGGCATCTTTGGCCTTTGCCCTCTGCCCTCCCTGCAGGAGGAGTGAGCCTCGTTGGGGTGTCCCGACCCTACTGGGCCCGACATCCCCTTCCTCTCTCCTCTGTCCCATCCTCTTCCTGCCTATCATCTTTCAGCCCAGGTGGGGCTCTGCCTGACCCATGGCTGGTATTTGCAGAGCCCCCATGCAGAAGGCTGAGGAGCCTGGCACCACGCTGAGTGTGAACCCAGGGGCACACTGTGTGGTGGCTGCCAGTCAGGGTGCTGAGACATTGCCTTGCCTCTTAGGACCTGGTCTTAGCGGGGCACAAACAGCCTGGGAGACAGGTACCTCCTGTGGCTGATGGCTGGGTACAGGCACCGACCGACCGATCAGCTGTGCTGCTGGACCTGGGTGAAGCTTGCTCGGTTTGCAAGTTCTTCCTCTGAAGTTCTCTGTCTGAAACATTTTGTGAATGTATATGTATCTCTCTCATGATTAAGCACTCTCCTGTAATCTAATTAGAAAAGTGACCATTAGGAGGTAATCAGCCAAGAGTGCCTGCTAATTAGCTGTGACATCTCTGGGAACACTGGTGACATAGGACTCATTCACTTTGCAGCTGAAAGAAACACCAATATCACCAACTATCTGGCTGTCACCGTCTGGTACATCTGTGCTCTAGGGACCTGCCTGCCCCTGGGTTCCAGGCCTGCACAGTGTGTGTGTGTGTGGATGCCAACTGCCACCAGGTTGGAGTCAGCTGGAAGCACCCTTCCTGTCACAGTGAACCCAAAAGCTAAAGGACAGCCCCCCAGTGAAAGTCACCTGCTTGATCCAGGCCCCGAGCACTATGGCCAGTTTCACTGGGAAGTGACCTGGTCATCAGATTGAGCTGCTTTTAGCCAGAGCCACAGGGAAATCACTGTATTGGCCAGTGGGTTGCTGTTTCATCTGGGCCTGGAGGAGGGTCGGAGGCCAGTTGTAGTGAGATGGCGAGAGCAGAAGCCAAGTCAGAGCTTTTTATTCCCCTCATTATCAAAGATTGTATTCAAGCCGTGGTATTTGATAAAGGAATTGAGCTTTCGTGGACTGCAGCGGGAACACACCAGAAAATAAATGCTTGCTAGCAAGATAGCATTGGTAACGTCAGCCGACAGAGCCAGTGTTCAGTTCCAGGAGCGGATGGCCTTGTTCATGACCCACTTCTGTGTGGGGACAGGAGATGCTTTGTCCTGGTCCCATACCCAGCTGAACACAGGCAGCAGCCCCCTCCCCCATATCCTTTGCACCTGGAGGAGCAAAATAGTTGCCATTTTGTTTCCCAGGATTAAAATTAGAAAACAAAGTATCTTCTTGTGTGTTCCTTAGAGGATGCAAGCAAGGGTTTAATTCCTACAAGATACCACTGACTGTTAGGCTGGGCTTTCCCTTCAGGGAAAAGGGAGATGACAGAATGGCAGTCCCTTTTTCAGTTGATCATCTCTTCTGTTTCTGGATAGACTTTTTGTCTGTCTTGTGATAGGGTCTCACTATGTAGTCTCGGCAGGCCTTGAACTCCCTGTGATCCGCTTGCCTCAGCATACCAGGTATGCGACACCAGGTCCAGCTTCTGGATTTTTAAGAAATCATCCCAGAAGCCAGTAATGGTTTACACATAAAATAAGAATTAGTGAGCTTCTGGTTGAGTGATTTAGGACTACACAGTTTTAAATACAAAGAGAATTTAATCCTTTGCCTAACGCACAGGAATCAGATTCAGCTTTTAAAACCTTACACAAAGAAAAGGGAGCAATCTTTTTAGTATTAAATCTTGAAATTACAGAATTGCTCAGCTAGAAAAGGGTTTCTTGACAGCTTTTTTGAGAAGTCATTTACAATCAGCCATTTTGTCACTAGGCCTCTCTTGCTTAGTTCCGTTCAACACTGCTAACCTGAGTTTGGGCTTAGCATGAATTCAGAAGGTGAAAAGTTATGAGACAGTAGTTTCGTCCTAAAAGTATAACAAGTGCCCAGGAACGGTGGCCATGGAGAGTAAAAGCCACCAAAGGGGAAGGGCGAAGCTGGTGACTGGGGACTGTTCTCAGCTTCCTTGCCCTGGGGTCAGGAGGGGAGGAAGGCTTTGGCTTCTCTGATCTTCTGCTTCACACCTTTGCAGGACAAAGTGAGCCCAGCGTGGTGGCGCTTCAGGGCCTCCAGGCGCTGCGTGAGCAGTTTGGTCCTGTCCGCCTTTTCCTCCAAGTCCCGCAGCAGTGACTCTTTGCCCAGGAGCCCACACTTCTGATTTAGCTTGTGGTTGTCAACCCGCAGACTGTCTCGGGCTTGCTTCGTCTTGGTCAGGATGTCCCTTCGGAGGGCCACCTGAGCCTCGATTCCCAAAAGCTCCATCTTCTTGCAGCTGTTCTTCATGTCCAGGAAGTGCAGCTTTTCTTTCACATGGGTTATGATTTGCACATTGTTGGTCACCTTGCCACGCAGTTTCACGACCTCCTCATTCCGCTCCTCGGCCTTCTCGTTGAAGGTCTGGTTCTCGATCTTCAGCTGTTCAAAATCAATGAGCAGCAGCCCCTCCGCCAGGTCCTCCTGGGCCCTCATCCTGGTTTCGAAATGTGCCAGGCTCTGCTTCAGCTGCACGTTCTCCAGCCGCACAGCACTCATCTCCTTCTCCTTTTTGTCCTCCAAGGCCTGGATCTGCTCCACCTCTCGCAGGGCAGCTTGGCGGCCGCCCCTCATGCGGCAACTACCCATGGCCTGCATTACCACCTGCTTCTTGAGGGCCTGGAACTGGCGCCACTTCTTCTCCACCCTGGCCAGCTTTTCCTGGCACTGCTGCTTCAGCTGGCCCACCTCCTTCTGGTACCACTCCAGGTCGTCCAGCTCCTGCTTCTTCAACTCTTCCAGCGTGGCCAGATGGTGCAGGTATGCCTGCTCCTTCTCTGGGGCCTCAGGCTCGGGGCCCTTGTCCGGAGGCTCTGCAGCGGCATCCAGGCCCTTTTTCCTGCGCAGCGCCTCGCAGATCTTCTGCTGCAGGTACAGGTTGTAGCGCTGGTAGCGGGAGCGCTCCACCACCAGGGCGTGGTACTGCTCCAGGAGCTCGCTGCGCAGCCGCTGCTCCTGCAGCTGCTTCACCTCCTCCGACCACTCCTCGTCCTCCCCATCGCCCACCCTCCAGTATATCGGCTCTTTCTCACCCTTCCCTGGGTATCTTTTCCCGTCCTGAGCCTCGCTCTCCTCCTCCCCGTGTCTCGCTTGCTCCTCGCGGATCTCGGTGAGCTCCAGCGATTTTCGTAACGAGGCTGTCCTCTTCCTCTTCACCGCCTCCTCCGCCTCGGTCTTCTCTTCATCCTCCACCTCCTCCGAGCTGCTCGCAGAACGAGGCTTAGCCAATTCATCGGCTCTGGCACCTACGGGCTCCTCGGATTCAGGCTCGGGTTCAGGCTCGGGCTCGGACTCGGGCTCGGGCTTGGGCTCGGACTCGGGCTCGGGCTCGGGCTCAGGCTCAGGCTCGGCCGGTCCCTCCAGCTCTCCGGGTCCGTCCTCGCCTGCAGCCTCGGTGGCCGCTAGCCCTTCAGCGGCCTCAGGCTGCTCGTCCACGGCAGTGCCGGGCTCTGGAGCCTCTACCTCCTCCGCCGCCGCCTTGGGCTCAAGCTGTTGTTCCTCCGGTTCCGTGGGAGTTTGCGGGCCAGGGCTGTCTTTGATCTCGGGCGGTCTCGAAGCTAGGCTGTCGCCATCTTCGCCTTCGCTCGCAGTGTCCTCAGAGTGCTTGGAGGGGCTGTCCATCTTCGCCCAGGTCTGCCCAGGCGGTGGACAGCGGCTGCAAGCTGTTAGGTTTCCCGGGCAACCTGGGTCGCGCGCGGTGGAGCCCACGATTGGCCAGGCACTAGCCCGACGCTCCGCCTCTTCCCACCCTCCTCTCGGTAGGAGCAAGCCAATGGGAAGCCGCCTGAGTGGGCGGGCACGGTTGATTGGACGCGGGATCGAGTTTGCGCCTTGAGGGGCGTGCCACGTTCGCCTGACTTCCTGTCGGCGCTTCAGTCTCTCCAAGCCTGGGGCGGGGCGTCACGGCTGCGCCGGCGGGCGCGCCAGCGGGCGTGAGTGGCGCGCAGGCGCAGAGCGGCAGGCCAGGAGGCCGGGTGGGGGCGCGCGCGGGGCGCCTGCGCGATGCGGCGCGGCGACGGCGGCGGCGGCGGTGGCCGGGCCGGGCCCGAGGGCGCCTGCGTGCTGAGGCGGGACGCGGCCCGGCTGGCCGGCTCCGGGGGCGCCTGGGTGGGGGTGGCCGTGGCGGCGGCGTCGGGCGGCGGCGCGGGCGGTGTCGGGGGCGTGGGCAGCGGGGCGGGCCCGGCGGGCGGCGGGGCGCTGACGGCCGGGGGCGCGGCGGCGGCGGCGGCGGCGGCGGCGGTGCGGGCGGCGGGCGAGCGGGGGAAGATGGCGGAGCTGGGCAAGAAGTACTGCGTGTACTGCCTGGCTGAGGTGAGCCCGCTGCGCTTCCGCTGCACCGAGTGCCAGGACATCGAGCTGTGCCCCGAGTGCTTCTCGGCCGGCGCCGAGATCGGTCACCACCGACGCTACCACGGCTACCAGCTGGTGGACGGTGGACGCTTCACTCTCTGGGGACCCGAGGCCGAGGGCGGCTGGACCAGCCGCGAGGAGCAGCTGCTTCTGGACGCCATCGAGCAATTCGGCTTCGGGAACTGGGTAAGCCCGGCTGGGCTTTGAACCCGGGCCTGCGGGGGCCGGGGGTGTGGCGCCCGGGTGCAGGTGCGTGCTGGCGGGCGGTGTCCGGACTCCCCGAGAACGCAGGGACCGGGACTGGCCCTGGCGGAGCCCAGTGCGAGACAGCAGGGCCCTGGCTCCCGGGAGCCTCCTCTGGGCCTTCCTGGGTGGCTGCGGGAGCCCTGCGTGGTGTCTGGGCCGCAGCACCCAGGGCGCTGTGTGCTGAGTGACCAGCATGTAGTGAACAAAGACGCTTGCTCGAGGAGACAGGGGCCCTGTCAGAAGCTTTCGGGAGGGACAGTGGGCTGGGAGGAAAGGCCTGCTGGACTGGACTCCTTCCGCCTGCCAGGTAGGCGCCAGGCCCTCCCTGTGGGAGAGGGAAACCCGGGAGAGGTTTCCACCTGTGTTGTGCTCACTGTGACCATCAAGGGCCATCCTCAGACTTTCTGACAGGCAGAGGAGTGAGTCTGGATCTCATCCTTGGATTGTCCCCTGCTGCCACTTCCCCAGCAGTGCTCTGCCCCCCTCCCAACTTGGGCTGCTTTAATGTTTTTTGCTTTACTCTTCATAGAGAACAGGTGTAGGGGACTACTCTGCAGCTGGGGGGCTTATTCTCTTCCCAGCTCCTCAGGGCAGATGCAGCTCTACAAATTCTTACCTAATCTGCAACATTGTGATCATTGAGCTGCAAAAGTCTCAGGTGCTGCTTTAATGCATGTCAGGGCGAGCTGACTGAGGTGACCCAGCCTTGCTTTCGGGGAACTTGGAGTGCTATGTGCATGCATGGTGCACTGCCTTCTGAGATGACCACGGTGACCCAGTGTCACACCGAGGGACTCTGGCGACACACCAGGAGCCATCCTGAAAGCCACCTTCTGTCAGTGCAGCAGCCCTCTCTTCAGAGTGTGCAGGACCAGCCATGGCCTGCGACCTCCATGCAGGCAGGCAGTGACCTCCAGCTTGACCACTTGTGACTGCCCTTTCCAGGTCATCCTCTTCTACAACCATATTCACAGTGGTCCTTTAAAACCTAAAGTCAGTCACTTCTTATGGGCCCTTGGTGGCCTCCAAGTCTACTTAGTAGATAGTCTTGGTCCCTGCGAGGCCTTAGTCTCATCTTTCATCCCTTTTGCTTGGAACCTTCTTCCCTCAGGTGTGGCTCGTGACTGATCTCTCCAGCCCAACCTCAGTGGTCAGAGACTTTCCTTCCCCACCTCACCAGTCCTTTTCTGCAGTGGCAGCTGGAGATAGCCGGTGGGCAGTGGGACCCCTGCGCTCTGGCAATGTCCCTTGACATCTGCCCAGCAGCCCTGGGCAGGCGGTTTGGGATGGACTGGCTTGGCTGCAGGTCCAGCCCACCCCATACCACATTATCTGCACTGCTTCCCTGCCACACCCTGGAAGTAAGTTACCTGAAAGTGTGCAGGGTCTAGTGAGAACCTGGACTGGCATGGGGAGGGCTTTTTGTTAAAGCAGTGTTTTCCCACTCTTAGCTCCTAGGGTGCTTGCTAAAATGTAAATGCTGATGAAAGAGAGCTTGGGCCTCAGGGGAAAGGGCCTGAGAGCCTGGCTGGCCTTAGAGCGTGGGAGGGCAGGGCCCTGGTCCCTGCTGATCTGAGGTTCAGGACTGGCCTTGCATACCAGGAGGAGGAGGTGCTGTGACCTCTGGCAGTGCCATTCCGTGCTGGTTGCTTTCTCCCTCTGGCTTTCATTTTTGCAGCATGGATGTGCAGAGCACGCCATTCCTGCAGAGGTAGCTGCTTGGCACAGCGCAGCCTGCACCAGTCTGTGCTCCCCAGTGGCCTGTGGGTGGTGCACAACACTCCAGAAGTGCATGGCAGGGCTAGGCTCCAAGCAGCCTGGTGGGCTTGGAGTAATAAGTGATGTGGGCTGGGCCAGAGCATGCCTGCTTGGCCCGTGGAAGGGAGCAGGTCAGAGACTGGACATGGGCTTTAGCAACAGTGATGGCAAGAGACCTGCGGAATTCTGATGTCAGGTGGCAGTGGTGACAGATGGCCTTGGGGTGGCATTGCTTAGTGTGGGATTCACAGGAAGGGGGCGCTGAAGTTGGCGACGTGATCACACGTTGTGCCAGCCTAAGTTAGGGGCTGGGGAGGGAACAGTGTAGCGCGGGTGTCAGCCATGGCGGGTATCAGCCATGGCACGGGGCTGCAAAGGTGCCTGCACACTTCCACTGGGAGAGGCTGTGGTCACAGGGCAAGAACATGCAGTGAGGGGTGAGTTCAGCTGCAGTGAGTCCTGATCCGATGAGAGCCTCAGGGCATTGAGGTGTCCAGACTGCTGGTCTGCAGTGGTTTTGAGCAGGAAGGCACAGATCTGCTGGGATACACCACAGAAGTGCAGTGTTTCAAGACAGTTTGAGATGTGTTTGGTCTTTTGTGTTTTTTTGAGACTGGGTTTAGTGATCAGGCTGACTTTGAACACACGAGATTCTGCCTCAGCCTCCTGAGTGCTGAGATTATAGGCATGTGGCACTACGTCCCTAGCAATTGGAGACTTCAGTAGAGCTGTTTTTCATTGATCTGTCTGGAGGACGCAGTGTGGGAAGGCCAGTTCCTCTGCTGGGGCACAGGATGGCTGTGGCTTTGGGGCTCCAGCGAGCTCCAAGATGGCAAGGTCGGTGAGATGAGCGCTGACATGCAGGCTGGTCCTGGGTGGCGGTGTGCACATGCCTTTGTGGCACCCGGGGTAGTGAGGTGTGGTGTGCCTTGTCACTGGCACAGGCAGCACCTGTGCTCAGATACCGAAAGGGCAGACAGTGCTGTGGGTGGCACTGTGCGTGGTGGTGTGCAGGCAGACAGTGGTGTGCGCAGCCGTGTGGAGGCTGGCATGCGGAGGGGATTTGGGACGTGCATCGGGTCCCCACACCCAGGGCCCAGCCTGGAGCCTCCTCCTGGTAAGAGTGAGGAGACGCCTGTGGGTGCTAAAGTTAGGTGTGGAGCTGGATGCTAGGACTTGTCCAGGGCTGAGCAGTGCCTCAAAGGATGTGGGCGCTGGGATCGTGGGGGACGAGAGACTGATCCAGGACAGAGCTCTTCACTGTCGGTGGGAACAAGCGGGTCACCAGCCATGGTTCCCGACAGTGGGTGAGGTGTGCAGGGCTGAAGGGCCTGGCCAGGAGGAGGTGGGCAGTGCAGGTGCACAGTTTCCAGGGTTCTGTGTGATAGAATGCAAGGGGATGAGCTGAATACTCGGTCCTGGACACAGCCACGTCCCTGGTCTGCAGGGCTCCGAGGGGATGACGAGCCCTGTGGCCTAAACCTTCAAGTAATGTTAACGGCTAAGCAGGGGTACATGTCTGGAACCCCAGGTACAAGCTTGGGAGGCTGGGGCAAAAGGACCCCGGGTTTGAGCCCGCCAGGGAGGTCAGTGAGACCCTGTCCCAAAACAGAGATGAAGAGGGCTCGGTCACAGAGCCTGTTCCTGGTACGCACCAGCCCTGGGCGCAGTCTCCAGGACCGCAGGACTTCTACTTTAGAAAAACCTGCTGCAGTCAAATACATAGCATTAAGGCCAGGTACTTAGCTCAGCTGCCCAAGTGCCTGCCAGCAAGTTCAGGCTGTGAGTTTGATCCTCAGTACCAAACAACCAAACACAAACAAAAACCTTTTTGTCCCTGGGACCCTCTGTAAGTTTCTGGTCATGGCCTCACCCACAGGCTCAGAACCCCCTCTCTCTATCCTCCCTGAGCACGGCTCTCCTGCCCTGGGCCCTGCGCCCTCACCTAGGGGCTTCAGACCCTGAGCAGGTGGGGGCTCTTCCCTATCTGGCTGCCTGCCTCATAGGGCCCCCACACCCAGCTCCCCAGGAACAGTGGGCCTGGGGCTGGTGCCTGTGGGCCGGAGGATCCTGTGAAGGGGTGAGGCGGCCAGGGTCTCCTCCAGCAGCGCTGTGTGCTCAGCCCCAAGCCACAGGGATGGGAGAGGAGAGAGAAGAGGAGAGAGGCTAGGAGACCCCAGCTGTGGTGCAGCCAGCTGTCCTACCAAGTACCTCACAGCTGCAGCGGGCCAGGAGAGGGCTGTGGTAGAGCCCAGGTCACAGTGGGTCACACTGGTGGCCCTAGGAGTGCCATAGGGCAGCGTAGACCTGACTGAGGAAGGCATGCTGGGAAGTGCTTTGGTGCACAGGGCATCTCCTCGGTGTGGCAGTCTCCAGGTCTTCAGGATGCAAGTCCCCAACCCTGAGGCCAGGCAAGGCGCTGGCCTCTGGTGGCCCTTATTTTTACCCCCACAAAATTTGTAAGAGAAGGGCTGCAGTGCAGGCATGGCGGGGGAGGGTGGACAGGCCCTTGGGGACCTGTGGAGCAGGTTCTGCTATTTCCTGTCACTGGGGCGCTGGGGCACAGAGAGGTCACAGGATGCATGCAGGCACAGCCATGGACAGAGGGCATTTCCAGAGGGGTGGCCAGCAGCCAGGCCTGGCTGTGGCAGAAGGGAGGACCCTGCAGGCCGGAAGGCTGCCTGCAGGCTTGGTGACCACTCCCTAATGGAAGATGTATCTGAAGGCTACCAAGAAGGGACATTAGAGAAGGGTCCAGCTCGGTCGCATGTCGCTGAGAGGCCCAGCACTGGCTTCGGGGGAACCAGTACCCTCACTCCCATGCTGAGGGGGAAGCCACCAAGCCACCAGCTGGCACTGCTGCCCTCAGCACCCCTGGTGAGGTTCGCTGCCAGCAGGGAACAGTCAGCCCTGTGTCCCCTTAGTGAGACGTGGTCGGCACGTCTTGGGTCATGGCCACCACAGGCAGAAGACAGGAAGGCAGTGTCCTCAGCGGCCACGTCTGGCTGTGTCACTGGGCATGTGGGCTGCCTCCCTGCAGAGCTGCTGGCTACTGCGCCCGGGCCACTGCCCTCTGCCTAGGGCAGCTCCAGGGCCCAGACAGTGGCCACCAGCCTATGGGGTGTGGCATGGTCCTCATTCCCAGCCTGGGTCAGAGCTGGCCTGCTGTGCACTCTGGACTGAGCACGGGTGGGTACTAGATGCTGATGAGTTTGAAAGGAATTGTGGAGCATGGCCAGACCAGGGTCTGCCATTGCTGTCACCTTCACGGTCCTCCTGGATGCCCCAGTCAGTCTTGGGACTGCCCTGTATACTGCTCCGTGAGGCTCCCTGGGGGGCCAGGCCCGCCTCTGCTCTGCCCTGCTCCTCCCACCGCAGCCCTCTGACTCCTGCCCAGGCACAGGTGCAGAGCTGAGGCAGAAAGCAGCGCTCCTTGCTCCCAGCCTGTAGGTGCTGGGCACCTTGCCCCACCCTGAGAGGCCACAAGAATGAGTACGCGTTCTGGGCAGTGACTTTCTGAAGTGGCTTTGGCGGTTGACTTTAAGGAAGAGGCCTCTTAGCAGAAGGAAAAGATTGAGCGAGTTGGCCGGCTTCCTCCTGTTAATAGACCCAGGGCTTCTGGCTCCTGTCATTCAGGAGAGGCGGTTGCTGAGCTGCGACAGAGTGGCAGTTAGCTTTGGGGACAGGAGGTGCTGTGTGCACCTGTCACCTGCAGTTAGCACCTAGGAAAGGTACCAGCTAGCTCTCACAGAACACCGGGGCGGGACAGGCGCCCAGGCCGGCATCCTGGCCCTGCTGTTCTGGTGGGTGTCCCCCTGGGTCGGCCCAGCACCCTGGGACAGTGGAGGGGGAGAGGTGGCCTCATGAGAGTGCAGGGAAGTAGTGCAGCTGCCCTGCAGCCTCAGGCAGGCGTCCTTGCCTTCTCTGCCCCCTGGGTGTACTCAGGGACCTTAGGAGAGCGTCCTGGGGCGGGCACTGCGGGGGGACCTAAGTGTGCCTGGTGGACTTGCGGATGCAAAGAGGCGGGTGTGGGGAACCATGCTGATGCCTGGCTTCTGTCGCCTAGGAGGATATGGCCGCGCATGTGGGCGCCTCACGGACCCCCCAGGAGGTGATGGAGCACTATGTGAGCATGTACGTCCACGGGAACCTGGGCAAGGCCTGCATCCCTGACACCATCCCCAACCGCGTCACCGACCACACCTGCCCCAGCGGGGGCCCCCTATCTCCCAGCCTCACCACGCCGCTGCCCCCGCTCGACATCTCAGTGGCCGAACAGCAGCAGCTGGGCTACATGCCGCTGCGGGATGACTACGAGATTGAGTATGACCAGGACGCCGAGACGCTCATCAGTGGGCTCTCGGTGAACTATGATGACGACGACGTAGAGATCGAGCTGAAGCGCGCGCACGTGGACATGTACGTGCGCAAGCTCAAGGAGCGGCAGCGACGCAAGAACATCGCACGCGACTACAACCTGGTGCCTGCCTTCCTGGGCAAGGACAAGAAAGAGAAGGAGAAGGCGCTGAAGCGTAAGATTCCCAAGGAGGAGAAGGAGCTGCGGCTGAAGCTGCGGCCGCTCTACCAGTTCATGTCGTGCAAGGAGTTTGATGACCTGTTTGAGAACATGCACAAGGAGAAGATGCTGCGCGCCAAGATCCGCGAGCTGCAGCGCTACCGGCGCAACGGCATCACCAAGATGGAAGAGTCGGCCGAGTACGAGGCGGCACGGCACAAGCGGGAGCGGCGCAAGGAGAACCGGGGCCTGGCTGGCTCCAAGCGTGGCAAGGAGGACGGCAAGGACGGCGAGTTCGCGGCCATTGAGCACCTACCCGGCTTCGAACTCCTGTCGGACCGCGAGAAGGTGCTGTGCAGCTCGCTGAACCTGAGCCCAGCGCGCTACGTGACCGTCAAGACCATCATCATCAAGGACCACCTGCAGAAGCGCCAGGGCATCCCTGCCAAGAGCCGGCTGCCCGGCTACTTGGACAAGGTCCTCAAGAAACGCATCCTCGCCTTCCTCACCGAGAGCGGCTGGATATCTCGGGACGCGGCCTGAGGGACTCGGGAGGGCTGCTTCCCGCTGTTGCTCTTTTTAAAGAAATGGAGTTCCTTTTTTAAGGCGTTGTGTCTTCTCCTGGACCTCTGCAGGAAGCGACAGTGGCAGTCCTGCAGCGGATCCCAGGGAGATGGGTGCGCGGTGCCCTGTTCGGAGAGTGCGCCATGCCGAGCCCGGATGGTGTCCCTGCGACCTTCTTCCCTTCCTGCAGAAGCTGCGGCTGAGGGTGCCAGGAGCCACAGGCTCCTCCCGAGGGCGCCAGCTCTTCTCAGGTGGGGCTGTGCTGTCCTGGCACGCGGCACTTTAGAGGCAGGCTGGGCCGGGCTGCCGCAGCGTCTGCTAGGCACCTGGGAAGCCCTCGTTTGCACACAGATGCTGCTGCACTCCTGGCAATGCCTGGCCCTCCCCGGTGCCCTGGCCGCCTCCCTGGGAACATCTGGGTCCCCCTGGCCCAGGGAGGGAGGCAGAACTGAGGGGACTGCCAGGGTCCTGGGTGCCTGTTGCTGCTGTCCCTGCAGTGCATTCTGCTTGGGAGCCCCTGTGTCCCTGGGCCCTGCACTAGCGTCCTCAGGTTTTCCCTCACAGCTGCAGGTTCCCTTTTTACTGCAAGAGCATGACCACGCTGGCCTGGCCAAGCGAACAACTTCAGGTGTGCCTAGGCCTGCTGCCCCCCAGCCAGGCAGAGCCATGGGCTGCATGCACGGGGTGGGGTGAGGGCAGAGCACCTGGAAGAGTCTCCGTGCACACGCGCTGCTCCTGGCTCCCCGTGGAGTCAGAGATGGAGAGCTCAACGCCAGGGTCCTCCGACACCTGCCTGCTAAATCTGCAGAAGTCGCTCGCTTTCCTGCAGCTCAAGGTCCTGCTCAGACCAGGCTCCAGGGACCCTGCAGTGACCACACTGTACCCCTTCCTCCCACGCTTGGCCTGCCCCAGCCTCCTTAGGTACAAGAGCCTAGTTACCTCCAGAATATCTGGGCTTGAAGTTACACTGAACTGAAGTGAAAGAGAAAAGAAAAACACCTCCTCATTCCCAAGGACTTGATTATGTGCCTTTTCTTTTTACATTCTCTGTCCTGTAGGGTAAGGTTTTCAGCATTAGATAAAACATTTTAGACCACTGCACGACGGGCCTGCAGCCAGGGTCAGGGAACACTTGCCTGAGCCAGTGAGCCTGGGCTTGCTCCAAGGACCAGCTCCACACTGCCCCCTGCAGGCCGAGCCAGGAGGCACTGTCTCAGCCTAGGTGTCGCACACAGTGGTGCAGTTGGGCACATGCAAGCCTCAAATTGGTCCAGCCCGTTCCTAGGCAGGGCAGGAACCCAAGGTGCACAGCCACTGGCCTTCCCCAACCTGGGGTCCTTGGGCTATCTGCACCAGAGACCTAGTCTAGTGACCTGGCGAAGTTTGGGTTTAAGTCTTGTTTTTCCTACAAAGTGACAGCCTGACCTCCACTAGCTTGAGAAGCGAAGGATCCCGTGCCCGGCCGAGGCCGAGTGCTGTCCACTGAAACCCTCATGCTCTTGCAGGCTTGCAGTGTGGTGTGTGCATTTCTGATGGTATGAAGAATTTACTTAGGCTTGACTGTTGAAGACACCATGATGAATGTATCATTAATTTATGTTGAGATATTAACCTTACAAGGGAAAAGCAGTTCCGGGACTGGTGCCTGTCGTCCTGCCCCAGCGGCTCTGTCCCATCTGCTGCTGTTAGCGCAGAGCCTGAAATGTTTCTATTTAACTCTCACAAGGAATTGGATGCCACAGCCCCACAGGATGGCACGAGGTGCACTCCCCGAACTGCACTGTCTTTGAGTCAGAAAGGTAACACCCAGGCCAGCATTCCAATAATGTACTAAAGTGCAGCTGCGGCCACCATTCCCATTGTCCTTTTACACATTAAAGAGGGTGAGAACAAAACCGTGTCACTGCGTGCTGCTTCCCGCTGTCCCCCAGACCCGAGTCCATGCCCAGGACAGTTCTGCCACGGTTCCCCGGGGCATCCATCCAGGCTATGGTTTGAAGGAGCCAGACACGGCACACTGCGGTGTCCTCACAGAACTGAAAGACGCTGTCCTGTCGGGTGACTACAGGTGACAAAACACCATAAAGACAACTTTGCCCTGGCTGAGTTAAGCCAGTCGCCCCCAGGTTGGGCCCAGGACCCTGCCTTGCAGGGGTGCCCTGTCCCGAGGTTTGCACAGCCTGAGCAAGCAGTGGGAACTGGAGCACCCTATGCGGTGTCCCAGACTGGCCCTCGGGGACGGTGACAAGAAGCCTGTCCGTGCTCAGTACAGATCCAGTTCTTCTGAGTATGATCCACAGCTGGCTGAATGCATGGACCAGGAGAGCCGACTGCTTTGGGGTCACAGGCTCAGGGCTGCTTAATGTCGTAGCTGCAGCTCTGGGGAGGAGGGCACAGGTCCACAGGTCCAGATGCAGCCATCATGCTTGTCACTTAGGTCCCCTTTGTGGACTAGTGCCCTGTGTATACCGATCCCCAGCAGGGGACAGGCCTGCCGGGCTTTCCTCCAGCACTGTGCTATGCTGCATCAGTTCCAGCTGTTCTAGGCCAAATAATTCAGGGCAGTGTAAAGGAAAAGATGGAAACGGCAGAAATGTGAGATTTTAATTTACATTCTGGCCCACTGGCCCAATCCCTGCTCCATCCTTAGCGCGGTGAACCCGCCAGCCCTGCCCTGCGCCCTGGCATGGCACGGAGGCTCCATTTCTCACTGTGCTGGGCACCTACTCACGCCTGGTCCCCTCCCAAGGCTCAGGAGGTCAACGTACAGGAGCACTACGGCCTGGCCCCCCCTAAGCCTGGGCCGCCTCCAGACGGTGTGCTGGCCCTGGCTGCCACCAGAAGAGGCTGGGGCACAGAGGAACTGGCCTGGTGGCCTTGGGCTCAAGGTCTCTGTCAAAGGACTAACCCATTAGTAGGAAGTAGAAGAGACGCAGCAGGTTTAAATCCTCTTAAGTAAAAACTTAAAATTGAAGCACGGATGTGTAAAGCATCCCAAGCATGTGGTCATGCTCTGAGAAGGTCCACCTTAGTGGGGACGTGCCCCGAGTGGTCAGCAGCTCAGGGACATACGGGATGGGGACGGGGACAGGGCTGACCAGGGCAGGCCTGGTCATGGCAAGGTAAAGGTGTTGAGTGCCAAACAGTAGACACACTTCCTGTCTCCAGGAGCCAAGGGCCGAAGTGTACCTGGTGTTAGCAGGAGGAGAAAGGTGCCCTTCCCTCCAAGGAGCCCAGCATGATGGGAATGGCTAGGCAGCCAACAGAATTCCCAGAGACCTTTTATTTGTTCAAAATACTTTGCAATCACCAGAATTTGAGCAGATACAGCGCTCTTTGGGACACGAAGGCCCACAGCCCATGTTTGCTACGTGGAAAGAGTGACCAGGGCACAGAGCAGCAACGAGCAGATCCCATCAGTTCCTCCGCCAGGTGGGCCCTGGCCTGGCCCTTGCTCGGCCACTCTTCCTCCCCCTTCCAACCAGGCAGGTCGCAGGTCACAGGCCCAGGTGCCCGCTCGGGAGGAAAGGTGACCCACCTTCTAAGAGTCGCATTGAGGGGTGCTGAGGTGCTGTTAGGCTTCCTTCACCACCCCCACCAGTGCAGGCCGCAGGGTGCGCCCATGCAGCTTGTAGCCCACCTTGCTGACGAGCGCCACAGTGCCCGGCTCCTTCCCCTCCACGGGTGCGTGGAACAAGGCTTCATGCTCATAGGGGTCGAACTTGGCTCCGATGGGGTCCAGCCTGAGCAGGCCATGCTTTGTGAACACCTTCTGGATCTGCACCTCCGTCATCACCAACCCCTCGTACAGGTTCTTGAGGTGAGGGTTCTCGTCTTTAATCTCCTCCTTTGGGACGCTCTGGGTGGCCTTCTCCAGAATGTCCGCCACCTCCAGCAAGTCCTTGCAGAAGCCCTGGATGCCTGCAGGGGAGAAGACAGTCTGCATCTCAGCTCAGCACTCCAGGGCCACGGAGTCCTCTGCTTGCCCCCGAGTCTCAGCACCCAGACAGTTCACACCCAGAAACCTTTGCAGGAACCAGGGTGGCATCACTTAGTAAAATGTGTAAGAAGGGGAGCAGACAGCAGGGAAAATGTGCCCTCGAGACCTCGCCACAGGGGACTAGAACTTGAACAGGACAGGGGAGGGTGGCAGTCACTCAGCGAGCAGAGCAAGGCGCAAGTGGCCTGCTACTGCATCCTGAAGAGCCAGGCCAGGCCTTGGGGGCATTTGCAGAAGGCAGGGAGGACACTAGGAAGCAAAGGCAACAGCACTGGGTGTGTGATCTGCAGCAGTGACCCAAGACCTCATCTGCCCTCAGGTAAACTGCTAGCCGCCCCATCTTAGCCTGGGTCCCTAACCTGCCACACAGGGAGTGGCACCTTCCAGTTCCAACAGGTGACGGTGACTATGCAGATGGTCTGATGACTGGACTGCTCTTCCGAGCTCTGCTGCGTCCCTCTGCTCCTGCAGATACTTTCCCTGCACTGGTCCTCGCCTGGGGTAGCGCCCTGTCCCCACCTTGTTCTCCCGATGCTGACAGAGCTGCACAGCACACCCCACCTCCAGTCCCAGCTGCACCCCGGGACTAAGCCATACAGCATGCGTCTTACCGTACAGTTTCGCCTCCTCTATCAGCTTCTGGCTTCTCTGCCGCAAGTTCTCGGTATCTGCCAGCGCCCGTTTATATTTTTCCTAAAGAAGGAAGGAAAAAGAAATTTAACTTCATTATGAAATACAGAATGAATTCATAGCCAAGCCATCCTAACTTAAAAATGATTATACAACAAACATCAAGTCAAAATACAAATGAAACCTATCATTACTTCTGAGACCGTGGGCGAGCACAGGGCCGCTGCAGACTGGCTTATACCTGGGTCTGGGTTCTCAGCGAGCCAGGGTGCCTGTGGTCCATGCGGTCCCTCAGTGCCAAGTAGGGCCTCACGGTGGTGCCCTCTGGAGACGGGGAGGAGGAGGGCCCCGGGGGAAGCTGAGACCTCAGCCCAGTGGTGGAGAACCTGTGGCACGCGTGCTGCAGCAGGCACGCAGAGCCCTCTTGGTCATGGAACCGAAGTCACCCCAGCAGCTGAGCATGAGTAGCAGTTGTTTTCTCTAAACCAAAACCTCAGTGCTCAGGTTTAACTGCAGTGCTGGCACTGTGTGACAGTTAAGTGGATTTTAGGGTGCAGCCTGGGTACAGTATCTCTGAAAGGTTTGCGGTCATTGCCTTAGCCACTGGGGAGTGGCCCCTGCCTGCTCCTGCAGTTTGTGTTTAAGGTGCTCTGTGAGTGCGCAGTTAGCGCTCCAGGAGCCACCTCCACCTCCTTCACCAGAACCAGGGCAACCTGAGCTCAGCACTGGCCAAGCCTTCAGGCAGCAGCCAGGAGGGATGCCCTGTACAGACCCCAGGTCCCCTTCCCTTCTTGCAACTCGGCTGCCTCAGCTGTGAACAGGGCCACGGGCAGGACTCGATCATGCAGGGCAGGGATCATACTGAGCTCAGCACAGACTTGGCGCCAAGCACTGGGTGGTGGTAGCCTGAAACGCTCAGGGTATTTGGTCAGTGCCATCTCTGTGCTTTGACACCCACTTCTGGGGACAGCAACACACAACCACACTTGCATCCCCGACTCCTGCACCCACCACCTCTGGGTCCCTTCCCAGTCACTGCACACACAGCCAAGCCTAGCAAGGGCTCCAAGCAGTGAAGACCATCTGAGGTCCTAGTGGTCACTGCAGCACATGCCTGCTTCCCTTGCAGAGCCACAGCCATGCTGGGCTTGGTGCTGGCCTCTGCCACTTTGGACAGTGGGCAGTGACCAGTGACCAGTGAGACTCAGGACGGTCATGTGGCGCCCAGGTCCTTACCATGGTCTCTCTGAGCTGCTCTTCCAGCCGGCCCTTCTCCTCTAGGAGAACCTTGTCTGCAGCGGGAGGTTCGGCCTTCTGCTCACTGGGCCTCGAGTCCTCCTCCAGGCTCTGGCCATTGTTCTTCTGTTTCGCAGCTGTGCACAGCAGGCGTGGAGAGGGCCTGAAGCACAGTTAAAACCATGTTCTAGATCGTGGCACATGTGGTAGCACAGGGTGTGGGTGTGGCACAGCAGACTGTCACCTGCCTGAGGCGCCATGAAACTGTGTTTATGGAGCCTTCTGCAGTGTGTACCCCAGCTGACACAGGTATCACTGGTCTCTCTAGTTCTGAGAGGCCAGTCTTACCCCAGAACAGAGCAGCTACTCTCAGGCCCAGGCTGATACCGTTTATAGATGGAGTAGGTAGAGATCAGGCCTGCACGGTGCACAGCATCATGCAGAAAAGGTGGATTTCTAGATATACAGAGCAGTCATTGAAATAGTGAAGAGGAAGCGCATGCTTTGGGGGACTCAGAGCAGGCAGATCTCAGGCCGGGTGCTGAGAATTACACAAGAGGAAGAGACCAGCTTGGAGAAGGCAGGAAACAGTGCAGGGGTATCAGCTCCACAACAAACCCTGGAAGAGGTCCAATCTGATCTCTACAGCACAAGCTTAAGTGATAAACACAAGGCCACACAAGTCTTAGCGACAGGGCCTTGAAGTCCAGACTTTCTTCCCCAGACCGGCGGGAGTGCTTTGCTAAGTACTGCCAAGTCCAGTCAGCGAGCTATTGTGCGCCAGAACCTTCCCCTGGCTTTGAACACACTAGTTCCACCCTTTTGCCACTTCCTGCAGTTTACAGCAATTTCTGCCGAGGGAGACTAGGACACTGCATGTCCTCATCCACTTGCTTCACTGGCCAGGCACTGTGTGACTGGAAGTCAAAATGACCATGAAAGGGAAATGTTTTGAACCCATTCAAGACAGGTCAATGCAACTGAAGACAGGAAAGAGGACATTCACAGCAGCCGCAAAAAGTGGCAAGAATGAGACAAGTGTGCCTCAAAGCCAGGGGGTAAACTGGGCATGGCAGCACACACTGGTAATCCCAGCCCTCATGAGGCTGAGACAGGGGATTGCTGTTTGAGACCAGCATGGGCTACAGTTTGTTCAAGGTCCGAAATGCCTAGTGAAACTGTTTCAAAAAGACACAACAACAACAACAACACAACAAAACAAAAAATCCAGGAGACACAGTGAGGGGGATTCATGGAAATGTGTCTTAAGTTGTTATATTTTAGAATTTAAATAGTCACTATTTTTTGCACACTTGTGTCATTTAATGATAATACATCCTGAGTAATTATGTCATGCAAACATCGCAGAGTGTACTTACATATCAAAAACTAAGGTGTCACAAGGTAATCTATGGACAACCATCTGCATGTGGTCTGCTGAACACTTTATAGCACACAGCTGCACAAAACATAATCCTGCTTTTGTAAAGAAAAATGAGGAATGCTCGTGTCTCTTAGGCCTGCAGAAGGGTGTGGAAAGATCTATAATCTGTTACCAACTGGGTGGAATGGCTTTTTTATTCTATTTTTAATTCCAGGTTTTAGAAAACCAGGAATCTAAAAAAAATTCCAAGTACTGTTTTTTTTTCCTTTTTGTTGTTGTTGTTGTTTTGGCTTGTTTTTTTTTTTTTGCTTTGAGACAAGGATCTCACTGTGTAAATCAGGCTGTCCTTGAACTCGTGGCAATCCTGCTTCAGCTTTCCATGCACTGGGATTACAGGCATTCGTCATCATGTCAAGCTTCGAGAGTACCGGTTTTAAAGTGGCTCTTCCTATGAGTTTGTCCCACCCCAGGGTGACAGTCACACTGCCTTCCTGCTGGTCAGCTTTGCTCTGCCCACCCTTTCCTGATGGATGGCCAATAGAGGGTCTGGTCGCAGTGACCAGGTGTGGCTGGGAATGAAACAGGGCCTGGAGTCAGAACTGGCTTGTGTCCCTGAGGAATAACGATTCTCAGTGTTTTTACTCGTGTATTTCAGGAACCTTGCTCTATTGTCCCCAGTCCCCCGCCCCCAGAATTTATTAAGCCAGTGTGTCCCTATTTGCCTGTCACCTTTACTGTAAGTGACCCTCACCTCACGTACCTGCTTGCACCTGAGAAGCTGCTGACAAACCAGCTCTCACTACCCAGTTTCGCCCCACGTTTGCCACAGCAGTTTCTCTTGATTTCATTAATAACTCGCTTCTAGACCAATCCCCCAACAGACTAGATAAGGATACTAAGTATCTGCTATAGTAACTTTTGAGGTAGGACTAGTTTCAAAAATCAGGAGCTACAAATTAAAGACAGTGAGGGGGCTGGCTCCCGGACCCTTGGAGTGGGTTCCGACGCGCCGCGGGGGAGGCTCTGCTGCTCTGGGATGGCGGAGGGGGAAGAGGGAATTCTAGGCACAGCAGAAAGTGCGCAACAGGTGCCCTAGTCACGCGTAATTTTCCCGAGCAGGTCCAGATTAGTGAGACACATTCCCTTTCCAGGCCACACCCGGCAGGGTTCTGCCTCGGTGTGCGACCTGGGCAAGTCCTGGCTTCCCTGGCTGCTTTCTGACACCGAGGCCATCACCGTGTTCCGGCACGAGGGAAGTTCGCAGTCGCCAGCGAGGTGTCGCCGCAGGCACCGGCTGCACGCACACGTGGGCCGCAGAATCTTCCGCTCCTAACACACCCGCGGCTCGGCCCCCGGCCCTCGTCACCCGCGATTCTGGTCCTGGTGACCAAGCTCGCGCGTTCCCGAGTCCCATGCACACACAAGAGGGCTGCAGCTCAAAGAAGCCGCGGCCCTGGGATGCCCGCCTCCAAGCTTCTGGGAAACAGCGTCCCACGGACTTGGGATTACCGGCTCCAGAACCGAGGCCGAAAAAGCAGTACTGAGGAGCTGTTGTTCCCCGTTCATCCCAGAGAATCCTAGAACCCTTTACCTGAGACACAATGACAAAGCCGGCAGACTTCGCCGCGCCAGCCTTACACAGCGAACCGCCATCACCACAGTGGTCGCCGCCGTCGCCACACACGCATTGGGCATGCGTCGAGCCGCTGCGCCGATTTCCCCGCCCTACTACTTCGACTCAGCCAATCCGGAGCTGTACTTGCAATGATCGGCAGACAATAGTCACCAATAATTGTGAGTCATGGTGGTGAACAATTCTCCTCCCCCAGGTGGGCGGGGCCTGAGGCTTCCCGCAGCCCCGGAAGGTGAGGAGGAGGTGAAAGGTGAAAGGAGAGAAGGAGGAGCCTCGATTGCGCTGGGGAGAGGTCGGGAAAGAGCCAATGGAGAAGACGAGCGCGGGGGCGGGGCGCACGTGGGGTCTGCGGGGCTTCCGCTGTGGTCCAGGCGGAGGGATGCTTCCCTGGCCTGGGTTCCCTGCAGAACGCTGGCTCCTAGATCGGTAAATGAAAGCAAGGGGTCGTCCGACTGTTGGGCAAATCAGCGGACGCGGCATCCAGAAGATAAGTCCCCTGAGGCGGGGACAGCCCTTCTCCTGTTGCCACTGACTTGGTCTCCATTGCCCGTGAGTTCCAGAAAATAGAAGCGAGACCTGCGGAGCAGAGTGACGCAGTACCAGCGAGTTTGGTGTTGCACGGTGGGAGTGCGGTGTCTGTTTTGCACTTGTCACCTTCCGTTTTGTCACAGTGAAACACAAATAATGTGCTGTTGAGGAAGAGCTTTGGACGCCGTTGGACGCTCATCGATACAGAAGTATTTGTTAACCTGTCATTTTTTTTTTTAAACAGGGTCTCACTATGTAGTTCAGGCTAGCTTTGAACTCACTTTCTATCCCAGGCTGACCCAGAACACGAAGCGATCCTCCTACTCAGTCTCCCAATTGCTGGGATTACAGGCGTGCGCCACCCTGCCCGACCTACCTAATCTGTTAAATTTTATCCCAGAAAATTTCAAACGTGTTCAGAAGAAAGGAAATGGTCACGCCCATGATATCGTTAAGTAGCCTCCGGTGAGGTCTTTGTACTCTGTCGCTTCTCTCAAAGAAACAAGAGTCCTGGAAGAGGCAGCCTCTGGTCCCGGCTGCCAAAGGCCAGGCCTCTTCCCTGCCCCAGCTCTGATGAGTTGTGCTGCCCGATGGGGATGCGGTCCGCTTGTGGGGACCGCACGTCTTTTGCTACCTCTTGTTGAAACCGTTTATTTGCCAGGTGCGGTGGCACACACCTGCAAGCCCATCGCTGGGGAAGTTGAGGATGGAGGATTGATCGCGTTGAGTTCGAGGCTAGCCTGGGCTACACAGGGGGACTGTCCCAAAACAAACAGAAACAAACAAAAACACCCCAGAACAACAAAAACGGGGTCCAGCTATTGGCCAGGTGCTGCACCATCTCCAGAATGTGGGGTGTTGTACCCAGTTTATTAATGAGGGCTCCGAGGAGAAGAAAAGAAGCAGTGAGGCTGTTGGGGAATAAATGAGCTCAAAAGACATAATTGGATAGGTGTGTGGCGCTTATGGGGATCACGATAAAACAAGTCTCCGCGGCGGCTGGGGGATTTGAATGTGGACTGACAATTGGGTAAGAGTTCTTGGTACTTTTGTTAGAGGGTGATAATAGCTAAGGGGGTCCTATAAAATGTCCTTGCCAGACATGCAAACAAAAGTACTGACAGTAAGTTGCCACCTCCGTATTTTGTGTTAAAATTAGTCCACTAAACAAACTCAAGGGCAGAGAAAGACTCATAGTGCTTGACACGTGGTGAATTCTGTGGGGCTGGAGTTTTTTGGAGAGGTGTGACATTTTCTGGGATAACATTTAGTGTCATTTTCCCGTCATCTGACCAGGTTACCTTACTGTCCCACATCCTGAATCTGCTCCCAGTTCAGCTGGGCTCTTTGGGCTCAGGTGTAGAAGAGATGAGAAGGATCACTTCCTTTCTCTCTGGGCCTTGCAGGAAGTCACACAGACATCCTGAGTGCTGATATCCACTTCAGAGTTGCAGCTCCTGTGTCCCAGATAGGCAGGAACTGTCTTCCCCACTGTGCAGATGCACTGGGGACCTGGAACTAGAGCTTAGTCCCGGAGTCTACCTCTGAGACGTGCCTGTGCTGCCACCTCCTGGGCACACAAGGAACTGCTCCAACCGAGCTCCCTGCTGGGCACCTAGGAGGAGCTCAGACAGCAATCTGAGGTGTGATGGAGGTAGGGAGGAGCCAGCCTGGGTGAGAAGCCCCCCCCCTTCCCTCTCCCACATCAGTCAGCCAAGGAGTAGAGCCCCGAAGAGCCAGCTACACAGTGTGCAGAGCCCAGCGAAGATGGGGTGCTGTTTAACAATCAATGTTCCTCAGAAGGTCGGGTAGCAGAACCCCCACAACTGCCCCAGCAAGTTTGTTAGCCGCCCGGGTTACTGTTCCTGCTCCAGTTCTGGTTACTTCTCTTAGAAGAGAGATACAAACCCACCGCCAGTTGGCAAGCCATTCCGCCTCAGTACTCATAGGATTATTTCCAGAGGATGAAAAATATTTCCAAAAGATGAGGAGTATAAAACAAAAGAGGCCTTTATTCTGGGAACACGGGGAGAGAGGACTGGCGTGCTGGCCGCTGGAATCTGGTGATCTCTCTCACACGGACACGTGGTGTGGGGCAATATAAGTAGCCTAAGCTTAGGGCAGTGCCCTAAGGCCATTAGAGATGCACAGGTATTTCATTGGCACACTTTTGGTGCCAGGGGCAGGTTCCGAAGGGTGGGGGGGGGTATAGGGTTACAGGTAAATTTCTAGGGGAGACAGGAGCTCCCTAATTCCGGCTGAGGCTTTTCTGGCTACAGTGTCCAGTCTGGGTCAGCAACCCTTTCATATCCTGTCTTATGATTATTAGGAAAAGGGGTGAAGATTTCTCTCTTTAACTACTTCCTGCTGGCAGGGGGTGCTGTACTGGAGCCTAGGGGAGTTGACGGGATGAAGGTTGATGCCCAGGTAGACGCTGATGCCAGGTGTTTTAGCCAGCACAACTTCACTGGTGAATGTACGTACGTATGTTAGACTGAAAAAAAAACAAAGAGACATGATGTTATGAGGAGACATGGCACTGTCATATTTAGGGACCCAAGTGAGGTAGAGGGAAAGGTGTCTTTGATTTAGACATGTCATTCTATCAGGATGACATTGAGGTAGGATCATTATCATAGTGAGGTAGAATTCTGAAAAATAAGTGTGAGGTTAGAAGGAGTGAAATTATGAGAGGTGATTACTCCCCCATCTGAAAGCATAAAAGTTAGGAGGGTAGGTGGGTAAAACTTGTCTCTGGTCTAGGAGTTGAGCTGGAAAAAATAGGGGGAGTGGGGAGACGGTGGCTGTACCAGGATAGGGAAGGTAAGGGCTTAGGCTTTCAGGGATGTCACGTTTAACCAGACAGCTGAGGGTAGAAAGAACTGCAACTGTCATCATATAGAACATTATGAAGATTATCTTACGCATGATGTGGGAGTCTTTAGGAAAGACTGCCAAGAGTCCTGCTGTAAAAATGATCATTAATAGAGCGTAAGAGATTAGGAACCAAATTGCAAGGCAGGTGCTCATGGACGCTTCTTTTTTGTTGTTGTTGTTATTTTATTTTTATCGGTACCAGGAATTGAACTCACAACTGCTTGCTTGCAAGGCAGGCACTTATGCCACTGAGCTAAATCCCCAGCCCCTAGGAACCAAATTGGGTAACAAAACATGACTTAGCCTGTTTACTGCAGCTGTGAGTGAAACGGAGACATGTGGATGACAGAAGATGAGATGACCACTCAGAGAATGATCAGATTTGGGGCACCTCTTAGCCTGAGTGATGTGAAACCAGGATGGCAGTCCAGCAACTTTGACCGCTGTAGGGGTATCCAAGTAGACCAGATAGGGGCCACTCCACCTTGGTGTAGTCCTGTGGATTTAGAACATTTGAGATAAATTAGATCTCCTAGGGATATGGGAGGATCTGGTTTGGCCTCTCCAGAGGGTTGTGATAGGCAGAGATCAGCATGTTTTTGCAACAGGTGTCGGAGGAAGGAGAGGACTGGGACATAGTCAGCCAGGGGAGGGAGATTTTGGGGAGCACGAAGATTGTGGAGTAAGAATGGTCTGCCGTACATAAGTTCAAAAGGACTTTAGAAAGTAGGAGCCCGGGGGAGTGCCCTGAGCTTGGCTAAGGCTAAGGGCAAAAGTTGAGGCCAAGGTTGGTGTAGTTCTAAAGAGAGTTTTGTAAGGTGTGTCTTTATGAGGCCATTTGCCTTTTCCACTTTCCCTGAGGATTGCGATGGTATGGGATGTGTAGGTGCCAGGTGATGTGTAAGCTCGAGGATACCTGTTGAGTGATCTGATAAATAAAGGCGGGACCATTATCTGACTGAATACTCTGAGGTAGACCAAACCTTGGAATGATTTCTTGTAATATGAATTTGGTAACTACATCAGCAATTTCCCTGGTTGTGGGAAAGGCTTCTATCCATCCTGCAAAGGTACAAACAAAGGTGAGAAGATATTTGAGAGTCTTGTGGCGGGGCATGTGTGTAAAATCTGTCTGCCAATCCTGACCAGGGGTGTGTCCCCGAAATTGATGGGTAGGAAAGGAAGGGGGTGCCATGCGTCCCTGAGGAGAGGTCCTGGCACAGAGATCACAGGTGTGAGTAGTCTTAAGAATGATAGCTTTTAGAGAAAGGTGTGTGACTATTGGGGCTAAGAGTTTGTATAGGGCCTGTGATCCTATATGAAAACAGTTGTGCAGGTCAGCAATGATGTCTAAGGCCTGTTGATGTGGGAGAACAAGTTTAGATCCCTGAAAAATCCATCCCTGAGTGTTTTGTGTGTAACCTGGTTTATGAAGTAGCTGTAATTGTTCTGGTGAGTAACTAGGCTGAGGTAGACTGTTTGGGACTAACAGGAGAAGATGAGAAGGGCAGGGCCCTTGTGCAGCTAACTTGGCTTGTTAATCTGCAAAGGCATTGCCTTGAGCAATAGGATCTGTAGAGTTTTGGTGTCCTCTGCAATGGATGACTGCTGCCTGCTTTGCTTTGGAAGTTGGGCTGCCTCTAGAAGTTTAAGGATAAGGGGAGCATTAATAATGAGGGTTCCCTGAGTGGAAATAAAACCCTGT